CATAAACTTGCCCTAAAACCCCCACTTCTATTGCTTCGTTCCTTATGGGATTTTCAATGTTGCATTTTTTATTGGCGACTGACCCAGTTTCTCGAAATTTAGCTACAGGCTCATGTCGCTCATTAAATATTTCTGCTGTTCTATTAGCGCAATGATTATTTCCGAAAAATAATAAATAATATCAACTCTTTCTGCTGTGGAATATACCATGGTTAATTTATGTAATAAAGCGTTACAAGTTATTTTAGCAACAAAGTTTGGTCAAATCAATCGCAAACTAAGTACTGAATTCCTATTTAAAATAAGTACGAGATATTTCCTTATCTTTCTTCAAGAAATAACTTTATGGCACAAAAAAACGCTCCAATAGCTATTTTCAACAACAAAATGATAAACAAACCATGGGCGTAGTGAAGAAAAGCATTTACTTATTAAGAAAATTCTTTCAGTCAAATTTCTTCTGAAAGTAGTACAAACTAATCTGATGTACCTATTAAAGTCTACTTTAAGCTTTAAATCAATAAATCTTCAAAACTACTGAACTGAAGCTCATGTATTTTACATCATTATAAAGGGAATTGAAAGACCTTTAAAATAAGGTATCACTTGACCCCCCTTTCCATTCAAGATTTTAGGGTTGGTGTCACCCCGGTCCAGGGGGCTGCACGTGTTAACGTGATTTTTTGCCAAACTGGTGTCCCCCTCGAAAACAAAATCCACGAGTCTGAGCGTTTTTCCAAAAAAAAAACTGAGCTGCCAGTAAATGCGACTGTTTCGTTTTCGATGCGCCACCCTGTATATCTAAAGTCGAGATGATCCAAACTAAATTTTTAAAATATCTATATTTAAAAGCATATGGTGCATACCCTCCATTTAACTATTCAAAGAAGGACCTTTTAGAGCACTTTGGCATGGTCAGTCTTGAACACAGAAAATTTTTATCGAGCTGCTGCTTTGTGCATAAGTTGCTAAGCAATCATATTGACTGTAGTGAAATTTTGTTGAACTTAAACTTTACTGTGCCTAGGTTCAATAGTAGGAACTACACCATGTTTTATCTTCCAAAAGCTTCAACAAATATTAAGCTAGCATCCCCTTCATACAGAATGTTAAAATTCTTTAACGAGGTTAGTCATCTCTTTGACTTTAATATGAGCGAGCATATATATAAAAGAAAAATATTGTCATATTTAAAAACCGTTCAGTGACATAAACTATTTCCAGCTTTCCAGTACCTTTCAAACTTATTCTTTATATATTTTAGGAGTAGAATTAAATTTCAGAAATATATTAATTTGCATGGTGTTACTACTGCACTGATGGGGCTTTGTGTTGGATTTCTGAGACACACACATAGGGTTTTTCTAGTATCATCAATCCACCATATTATGTTTTGTATGTGTGTCTATTTGCTTTTCAAAACTTGTATAGTGTTTCTCTGTAATTGAATCTTGTATCTGTTGAGAAATATATGAATAAAGTAAAATAAAGTAAATTGGCAACATACGTATACTATATTTGACATAAATACGTTTGCTTTCAAGAACGATAATAAAGGTCTTCCAATTGAATATGAGAGCTAGAGATGGCCCTGTAAAAGAGATACGTATCCCATACACATCATTATGTTAAGATCTCAGTCAATTTCCTTAATTATGTCATTACGCTCATCCTTAACCTTTTGACGAGCAACGAATAAACAAAAATCGAATGCATCTGGTTGCGTTGTTAATGAACCGCGGCATTTGCGATTTGCAACGTGAGAACCAGCATCAACGACGAATTGATATATCACGACTTCGCGGCTTATCAGAAATTTATGGTAGCATTTGAGGCTCGTTTATGAACCGTGTTGCTCGGGTCACAGAATGTTATGCAAGGCGCAAGTACACAATTGTTATTTCTGAGAAGATGAAAATCGTGATTTTTAGATTATGGCTAAAATGGGCTGTAATGTCATAATGTCAAGATTACTAATATGTGGAGAACGTGAGACATACGTTGTCATACCTTTATGGCCTCCTTGAATTTCATTGTTTTCCACTCCTCCGTTTCAGCACTCTAATCTTGAGGTTATGTTACAGAGAACTATATGCAAAAGCATGAGCTTTTGATTTATACCAGCCCAAAATTCCCTACAATTCAAAACGAAAACATAGCCTCAAAATAGGAGTGCGCTGGTGCTGACGCAGAACAGGAGCAGTCTAGAAATACCGCAGCCTTTCTGAAGGAGACGAAATACTATGAAAATCAAGCTAGTCACAAAGGCGTCCTACAATTGTAGGAATGACGGACGATACGGCCCCTAGGGATCTGACTTTGAATGAAAAATCCATTATCTAAAAATCGATCAGTCCTTTTTCGACATAGATACATTTGTAAAAAATTAATTTTAGAAGAAACTCCTATACAGGGTCAGCCAAGGGTGCGACGGCAGAGCATAGATCCTGAACGAAAGGACCACTTATAAATTCATGTAATATTGCATCTAAGGGCACATTTTGAACATATTTAGCATTACACGGGTTTTCACAAATTATAGTTACATATCAAAGTATTTTTTAATTGTATGACCCATATTTTATTGTATATTCAAATATACCCTTTTAAAGGAGAAGATGATATTACGCTTTGACAGCTCGTCGGTTCGCCAGTTTGAGAGATGTATGTCAAGACATTTCTAAAGCTTCATTTTATTTGCTGTAAATCTATTTTTTGAAAGTTTCTACAGTGTTCAAATAAATAAATATCCGTTTTCTCTAACATTTCAAGTGGAACAATCTCAACTGATGTGTTTTTTATCCGTCGCGCCCTTTCAAAGATCGAATAAATTGTTGAATTTATATCATCGATCTATTAAAAATAGATCTATTAAGTATCGATGACCCTTAACTAAATTCACGCAAAAATTAAGGTGAGTATAGCTTTTCTTCCTCAGATTGGTATTTTGTTATTAAATCATAAAGTATAGGTTCAAAATGACTTCAGATATGCTGGCACATACGTTTTCTTTTTGCGGTTTTCTTCTAATTGATATTTTCCATGACCAGTTCGCAAGAATGTAAATTCCGGATTTTTTTTATACTTCAACCAGCCTAAAGCCTAAGCACCCGTTGGGTCCCGTGGAGCTATAGGGGGATGCATGGGAAAGGGAGAACGCCACACGGACTCTGGCGAGGGAACACGTGTGCATGCAACATGCACACATTCTGGCTCCGCCTACGAGATCCGCCGGGTGGTACCTCCGCGTTCGACAGTCAGAGACCACCTACGGACCATCACAACATCCATAGCCAGGAGAAAAATTTCTCCTGGGACGGGATTCGAACCCGCACAGCGCACGGCCACTGATCAGGAGACCGAAGAGTCTACTACTGCGGCCACCGCTGCTACCTGATTTCTTTTTATGGGCTTATTTGAAGTCAAATGTCCATGGGAATAAGCCCACATACACTCACAGTGGTGTTTATTTATTTATTTATTCATAATTCCCAACAGGTTACACCTAACTACAGAAAATAGATCAATATGTAAATGTAAATGCTTACATGTATGCCAGTATTTGAAATGTGGAAATAGCTCTTAACATATCGATTCTATATCACGCTGAGGTACCAACTTCGGTAACAATCTAATACAGATTTTTATCGATCACAAGAAATATCACAAGAGGAACAAATCGCATTGAAACACTTACACATATAGTTTAATGGTGATTTAATTTGAATATGTTTGTGCCTTACGCTGCACGCACCCAATGCTCGCTCTGTAGGTTTGATAGGTAGGAGGCCAGTTAACAGATGCGTGCTCCAGCTTACTCCTAATAAAAATGTAATACAGGAGCTTTTATGTTGCGATGTCAGCGGAGCCCGACCAATTTCTGACGCAATAGCCTAACGTGTTGTATTCACCATATGGAGGATGTGGTCATTATGTCAGTTTAGCGTCAAACATGATACCTAAATCCTTGAAAGTCGAGATTCGCTCTAGCAGGTTGCCATCAATGTTCATATACATAAAACTCTTGATTTCGAGCACATACAGCTATAAATTATCTAAGTACTTTATGATAATGTACTTACCTATATAGAAAAAGAATTGTAAACCTTCTTGGATAAATGAACTATGAACTAGGAATGAAACTAAGAAACAAGTATCCTAAGCGTTGTCCGAGCTTTCTAATTCACGTTATGCCTATTCTCAAAATATAACAATGTATGTGACTGGTCAGTCAGTATCCGTTCAAAATTGACCACTATAATCGATATACGGTAGAGAGATGTCTGTAATAATAAGGTTTAAGTATATTTTCTGCTGTTCAAGTCCAATAAAAGGTCTCTAACTGAAAAATGGGTTGAAATTTCACATAAAGAATATCATAGCCTTTTTTATGTGCTCTAGCGAATGCTTCATTTGCTAAACGCTATCAGGTTCAAGAAACTATTCAAGATATATAATATACAAAATTTGAAAAGGTAGTCAAGAGCTGTAAAGATTTTGACAAAAGGAAGTAAGGATAAGAAGAAATAAAGTGATCATTACCAATATTCCAAGCTCGTTGAGAATGACATCCAATCTTCCCCGTTCATTAGGGGAATATAAAATAAATGTATTAGATCTTAACAATCACCGTTCATTCTAAGGTAAATCATTGGCTAAAGCGTAAAAATACAGCTAGATGCGAAAAGATGCCGTACTATTTCAGTAGCATTTAAAAGAACCGGCATACAAAGGAATAATTTAGCAAATTTTACGTTAGTCTATTGACCGTAGCCTCATGATCCAATTCGTCTATTTCTCATATTGATAAGATTTATTTTCTTTTCTTACCAAAATTGATTTTATTGCTCTCCAATGATCTTGTATACTATTTAAATTTTTGATGACTTATTAGATACATCACCGATTATAACTCATCCATCTATCATTAGATATGCTAATCATCTTTATGTTAGTTTGTAACTATTCCATCCACCCAACCAAAATGAAGAAAAACTTACAACAATGAAAAATTTCATCCTGTCACAATAATTTTTCTGCGCGTGCACTGAACAAGAACTAGAGGGTCCGTATCCCCATCCAGTCCTTTTATATGCACACTGAAATTGTTAGATTCCTTCACCGCGTTTAACCTAAGACCAAGGTCCCTATCATCGAGCTACACGAATCGGTCTTCGGCTGTGCTGCAGACGACCTATCAGCATCCGTACATATCATCATTAATTCGGTCTCTCTTCAAAAAGATTATTCTAGCATCATGACAGGACATGTAAATTACATTCGAATAATTTTTGGTACAAGAGTTTAGCAAGCTTTGCTACTTCTATAAATGTCTGAATATTTATGGAAACAATTAGCTAATAGATGAGAATTATCTGCATGAAAATGCCCTGGAAGCTGTAATAAATTCAAAACTTTTTTCGAACGATAAATCCGCTTGTACTATTATGCAGTTTTGCAAGGTTTAAACCAAACCTTACCTGGGACTTTTTATACAGAAGCAGCCGAGTAGCCAGAAGTCTAAATACCAGGATTCCGCGGCTGCATTGAAGAGCATTGTTAATCCGATTTTTGAGCTGCTTATGGTTAATAGAACTGGTAAAAGCCGCCTCAGGCATATTGTTCCACAATTTCAATACCCTACGGACAAAAGAGCGGTGGTACCGGCCAGTTCTGGATGTACGGAGCTGGACATGGTTATGATGGGAGACAGCACGGGTATTATGTTAAAAACCTATAAAACGTCAAAAATCCTATAAAATGTCATCTTGCAGATTAGGTAGTTCGGGTGTAAACAGTCATTCCACGTTTGCTCACTAGGATCATTGTGAGCGTCCATTTATGGAGGAATGACTCAACTACATGCATTGTTCTGTAAAGCCGTTTAGTCTCTAGTTTTCATCTCTGAGAAGAATGTCGGTTGAACAGCAATATCGCATCTGGGTGATTATGTGTATTGGTCTGCATGTGTATAAAATCAGTGATATTTGCTGTGTGAGAAAGTCATTACTGAATATGCTGCCAATGAAGTATATCTATTAGCTGTGCCCGACGGGTTATTTATATGATGTACCTTTTTGAAGACAGGTTATGTCCAAAGTTATAAATTACGATTTTTTACGTTTTTTTGTTTTCAAAAACTTTGTGGAGAATTACGAGAAGTGACCACCGCGCCCGCGTTGTGTGTAATTACTGTTAGCATGTATATGACTTGTAATTCGACAGTGTACAGTGAATATAATTATTTCTTATCTCTCTCATTTTTTAAATTCAGCAAATTTGATGTAATCTGGAAACACTGATTTCTTAAGTAAACCGAATGCATTGACTGCAAAACTGACGTCTTCTTAACCCTAGAACCAATCTGCCACTCCGTCACACTTCAGGAATTTTTAATAAACATATTCGATTTCGGCGTCACAAAATTCATCACCTTTCGCTCACTTGCAATAATAACTGAGAATTAAACATTTTAGCATGAAACCGTATATTATTAAAATAATTTTCATGTATTACAATACGATGACTCCAAATTTCTAAAACACCTGGTATTTTCTGCATGATGTAGCTCCGGCTTCCTCCTCGCCATCTACAACCTTGTTCAATTTTTGTATTGTATTGAATATTTAATAACGAATCAATAAATAGACAATCAATGAGCATTCAACTTTAATGTACACATATTTCATAATCAAATTCTGATGTGAAGGTTGGGTTCCTACCTACTCCATAAGTAACGGAAGCACAAATTCTATCAATCTGCAAAGGCGTTCACATGTCTTGGAAATAGAAGAAAATAGTCACATAGGTGATGACAATCCAGTTTCTATTGAAAAATCATTCAATTTAAAAGGCAACCGAAATACTAATAATAGTTGTGTTCATGAAACAAAGACTGCTAACGACTGTATCTCTAATGAAATACTTAAACCACATCACTGCCTTCTTTCATGAGCAGCATTGAAGCATGATATATAAAAAAAATGCGGAATTAACTAAGCTTCTCACGTTGGGCTTTCCTTGATATTCTCCGAATTATTACATTCTTAAATAGATTCACATACATTTATCCTGTGTCGCCAGATTATCTACATCTAAGCTTGCTGCCATTTGAAATTGTGGGTAGAATGTATTCTTTGATATAATTCGCAGTAAACGAAAGGTCAAAAATATCCATTCATATTATGTAGTTGAATAAGTAGATACAACATGAACTATAACTAAAAGGTTATGTAAAACCTTAAAGGAAATCGATCCTAATATAGTACCACTGTGGTGCTATAAATCGTCTCTGGGAAACAAGAATAAATTAATGTAACAGCTTAAACTCATACTGTAGTTTTCATGGTGATAGTACTCCATTACCTGGCCGTTGTTATCAAAAAGCATTTCAAGCATATAACGTTTGATTTAACGGTCAGATAATGCAGTCCTGGAATTAAATTATGATTAAGATGGCTATATTTATATAAGTGAGATTTGGCCCGGTAATTAGTTATTAGTTACATGTTCGATCACCCAGAATTTCAATGGTTTGCATTTGTAATTAATTTTTAATTTTTAGTTAAAAATAAAAATTTAATTGAAAAGCTTTTTATATTTAACACTGTTATAGAAAAAACTAGTACAGTCCAACATAATAAAAGAAATGTACCTATTGATGATATCTATTGGATCAATCATGATAAAATACAGACGGGTATCGGTACTGAATCTAAGATATTATGAATTCAGCAAAATAAATACTACTGCAGCCGTAAACTTTAATCATCGATTTTCCCATAAGCTTTTATAATTCAAAAATTGCATATAAAATTTTATTGTTTTCCATACGTTGAAGTATTGATTATCTTAAAACTTTATGCAATTTTAAACTATTAAATTTGAACACATGAACATTTGGATAGCAATACATACTTAATTAAAATTCATGTAATAAAATAAATAAACGTCTTTTTTGTCGAAATTTAGCAACACAATTCATTAATTTTTTGCACTTAAGACTCAAGTCATGCAGTCAGAATTTAGATTCGTAGAAGGTCCACTATGCAGATAGAATGATTGATAACAATCAATAGCTAAGCCTAAGCTGTTTCATTTAAGAGTGCATATCTTGCAACTAAAAATTAAAAAGAAAATTAACTGCTATGAGGAGCTTAAAGAATCTTTGTCAATCCGACCTTTGAACTGCCTAATGTTAGTAGAACTGGGGAAAGCCTCCACAGGTGCATTGTTCCACAATCTCTATCCCCTAGGCTCAAATGAGCGGTCGTATCAGTATAACTTATACTCTTCCCGAATGAACCACATTTTATATTCATAGATCCTCAAAAAAAAAATGCTGCACACCCTCTAATTGGTTGATCTGTAAGTTAATAAATTGGGCACCACATGGAGCAGCAATACTTAAGTAACGAACGAACCCAAGAGCAATACAAAATTTCCAAAGAAAAAAGTGACAGATCAACACAATGGCACATCTTATTGTGCACAGTTGATTGTTTCTCCAATATGTACGTTAAACTGTAATTTTAGGTCAATAATCACTCCCAAGTCCTTTATCTAATCAGTAGTTTATAAAGATCTAGCGTTGATGCTATAAGAATAAGTAATCGGAGAACGAGGCGGACTAAATGTAGGTTTTGAAAGATTTTGCATTATTTAAAACCAAAACATTCACCCCACGTCAATGAGAAATCATAGTTGTTTCCAATAAATCTGGAAATCTCAACATCATCTGCAAATAAAATAATTTTACTGCGAACTAAACTCACCACCACCACTCACCATTAATAATTATATTGAATAACAACGGACCTAAGTGGGAACCCTGCGGGACTACAGAAGTTACACGAATTCTGCGACATGTGAACCCGTCATATGCTGTTATCTGAGATCGATCCAATTCAAGAGCTGGCCCCTGCACGCCATAGTTGCCACCTACTGACCTTGCTCAATTGATTGATTACACAAATAGTTACTTTATAACATTAAGTTTGTACAACTTGACTTATCCTGACAAAAACCATGCTGCTGATCGACAATAATTCTTTCTGCGGGTATCCATTCATCAAACAATCCATCAATTTCTGGATAGATGACTATATACATTCCGCAAGATAGTTTTCAACAATATAATTGAAATATAAATATGAGCTTTGTTTCAGTAATTTGGAAATTCTCCCGACAGCGGTGGTTCATTAAACAATCAGCACAATAGTTTTGCCAAAGTGAATATACATTTTTTAAGAAATATAAGGCAATACTAATGGTTGATTTTTTTGCTAGTATCTTTTTGGCAACACTGTTTTTGATACATGACGCGTGAATCGTGTCTTGTGTCATTGTCAAACTTGTTCAGTTTGGTCTATAATTTAACCATGAATCGACTTACGAACGAACAACGCTTGCAAATTATTGAATTTTACTATCAAAATTCATGCTCGGTTAAGAGAGTGCATCGAGCACTGCTTCCAATTTATGGGCAATTTGGTCTGCCTACTGAGGGAGCTATTCGGAAGCTTGTGACTAAATTTCGAAGCCGGTTTACATTATTGGACATTAAACCACCAACACGCAGACGTAGAGTGAGGACTGAAGAAAATATTGCGGCTGTATCTGCCAGTGTTATTGATGACCGTGAAATGTCGATTCGCTGCCGTTCGCAGCAATTGGGCCTCTGTTACTCCAATACGTGGAAAATTTTGCGACAGGATTTGGGTGTAAAACCTTATAAGATACAGCTGGTGCAAGAATTGAAGCCACACGACCTCCCACAACGTTTCCCATTTGGTGAATGGGCGCTGGCAAGGTTGGAGGAAGATCCACATTTTTATCGAAAAATTGTGTTTAGCGACGAAGCTCATTTCTGGTTGAATGGGTACGTTAACAAACAAAATTGCCGCATCTGGAGTGAAGACCAGCCAGAACCATTGCAAGAGCTACCAATGCATCCCGAAAAAATCACTGTTTGGTGTGGATTATGGGCCGGTGGCATCATCGGGCCGTACTTCTTCAAAGACGACAATGGCCGGAACGTAACTGTGAATGGCGAGCGCTACCGTGGGATGATAACAAACTTTTTTTGACCAAAATGGAAGAGCTGGACTTGGCTGACATGTGGTTTCAACAAGACGGTGCCACATGCCACACCGCACACGAAACAATGGCCCTATTGAGAGGCGAGTTCGGTGAACAGTTTATCTCACGTTTGGGGCCCGTCAATTGGCCGCCTAGATCGTGTGATTTAACGCTGTTGGACTATATCTTGTGGGGCCATGTTAAGGCTAATGTCTACAGGGATAAACCAGCAACGATTGACGCACTGGAAGCCAATATTGAAGCATTTATTCGTGAGATACCGGCCGATATGTTGGAGAGAGTGTGCTAAAATTGGACCTTGCGCATGGGCCATCTAAAGCGGAGCCGCGGCCAACATTTACATGAAATAATCTTTAAACTTTAAATTATATCGACCGTTCTATCGACTCAAATAAAGATTTAATCGTTTTTTAAAATTTCTTGTGTTTTTTTTTTTTGAAAATGAGGTCCTATACCTCTTAAAAAATCACCCGTTATAAGCCCAACCGATAGTTTCTCACTGATAACTTCATTTATTATATCTTTAATATCAATGAACACATCATCCATGTCAACTTTAGATTTGAAATCATGCGAAGATATTTGGATGTCATCTATATTGTGATAAACAGTAGAAAAGTTGAACTATAGTTGAAACATCATTACTAAATTTATCTGCATAAGACATATTGCATGGAATTCCAGAAGAGCATCTTTTGTTATTAATAAATTTCTAGTCTGAATGAGGATTATCAGATAAGCTGTTTTCAACCTTTATAATGGTAAAAAATGTTTCGCAGACAATTGCAGTGCGCTTGTAAGTCAGAAAAAATATTATAGTCGCCCGTTGATTCCTTATATTCCTTATGCGCAATCTTTTTCTCATCGATTGGTAGATATCTGTGATATCTGACAAACGAAGCAGTCACGTGTTCAGAAATTCTGTATGGCTTCAGCTGAACTAAAACCCGTATCAGGCTTTTTAAAGGTCCTGCCGACGCTTTCAAATGGCTAGGTAATTTATTATACAACTTTGGGCACATATGAAAACAGTTTTTTTTTCAGTTACTGACAGCCTATGAGGTAGCAAAATATTCAGAGCTCTTGTACAGTATGTGAGATCATTTTGGGTGGGAAAATTGCTTCTATTTTTCACTGTGAACATAGCATAATCAATAATAGTCTAATCATATTAGACAAAAATACCCCTGGTTTGCGAAATAATTGTAAAGTCTGGTTTTATTGCTGCAAGTCGTTCAAGGGGGTATTCAAAATATGGACGCATAAAATGGGTGCAAAAATTTTAGTGAGAAAACTTTTTATTCGACAACAAAGAATGAGAAAACGTGTTTTTTGGCATTCAATTGAAAGTGTTGGCAGGAACGAAACAACTCTTTTTAGGTATTTATGAGACCTACAAAATGAGACTACACGTAAGAAGATCCGACGAATACCAAAAAAGTTATGGCCGAAAACCGAGGCAAACTGCAGGTTTTGGCACATATTGGTAATGCGACGTTGGTTTCTCGCAGATTTTTATCCAAAAACATCTGTTTTCCGGCCATCACTACGAGCCTAGTGATCAATATGCAGGGTTAGTTCCAAGGGCATTTTATAGCAAAATGCACTAGCTTACCTTGCCGATATGAATCGCAAACCATTCCGGAGGATAAATGTTACTTTTATGCAAAAAATGATGAGTTGCGTTTTTGCTTCTAAACAAATTCAAACATTTCGTATTTGTGAGAAATTCGCAACAAAAGATGATAGACACATCCGCTTTGTTTTAAAATGTGTATAGTAACGTGTGCTTTTCGAATATCCTAGCGCATTTGTTCAATTACTCACAAATACGACATGTTTGAATTTGTTTGGAAGAAAAAATGTAACCTTCGTTTTTCGCATAAAAATAACATTTATCTTTCGGAATGTTTTGTGATTCATATCGACAAGGTAAACACGTGTATTTTGCTATTAAAAACTCTTTGAACGAACCCTGTATATTACTCAATAAACTAATAGTGATGACCGGAAAACAGGTGTTTTGGGATAAACAATTAGGAATTCTCAAAAAACTACTTGACCAATATAATTCTATTTTGTTGTTGTTATTTAGAAGTATGAATCCTACGGATTTGAAGAATTTCAAGTAGTTGCGTGAAATTATCGTCGCATTACCAACAAGTGCCAAAACCTGGCACCGGATGTGGTCTCATTTTGGAGGTCTCATAAATTCCTAAAAATCTTATATAAAGAGTTTTTTCGTTCCTGCCAACATTTTCGATTGAATCCCAAAAAACACGTATTCTCTTTCTTTGTTGTTTTCCCACAAAAATTAGTGTACCCATTTTATGCGTCCATGTTTTGAATACCCCCTTAAACAACTTGCTATAATTTAAACTGTATATACTGTCATTAAGCCCATTCACTTAAATACTCCTCTAACACACATGTTTCATTAAATTTCATATGTCTCATTGCTCTTATGGTCATTAACAAATAATTTTTGCAGTTCTGATGGTATACAACACTAAACCTCAGTGGCTAAACGGCTTGCGCCTCTCACGCATGTTCAAACGTTAACGCCGTGATCCCATGATGCCATTCATTGTTGCCGTAAAGCACCTAGTTCTCGATGTCGTGACCACGTCACGCTTTTCCACGGTATCTGATAACCGTCGTAATTTGTGTTTTAAAATATCAGTCACTACTTCACCGTTCGTAAAATATCTGCCACCCCTAGAATATACCGAATTTGTAACTACTACCACTAGAACAGGAATGAATTATGACATTCAACATTATTGTCCATACTTATTTTTCATTAGTATGCAATTGGTACATCATCGCCTCCACCCATGCCATTTCCCAACTCGTCTAGTCACAGCCTTCGATAATCGTATGCCCAATATGTCCCGAGCCTATCGAGAAAGCAAAATAAAAATGCTAGAAATAGCCAATTACCATGCATTGTCTAACGTCCAATAAGGAAACGGTCGTTGGAAAAGCGCGGATTGTTTTATTATTCTACGTTACCATGCAAAGGTTCGTGATAATGCCATCTTCCTAGCAATGATGAAATGTGCTTGAATTAGTCATAGCTGCTTTATCACTGGGCACAAAAAAATAGAATCATTCTTCGGAGCTCGATGAAAGTGTACAAAACAAAACCGTCCAATATACTGAGTGACAAAAAAAGGTAAACACCTACGTATCTTTAGTCGATTTTAATAATATTAAGCATATATTATCAGTATTCCTTACTAGTAAAATGATTAAATTTTCAGCTTGATTCGTCAACTGGCTGCTGAAGCTGGTTCAATAATGTCTTGAAGATCCACGATTTCTTATACACTCATTGACACGCCTGGGCATCGTGCTGATAAGGTGGTCGATATCCTGTTGCGGTATCTCATTCCAGGCTACTGCAACTTCGTGAGTAAGAGCTGCTAAAGTCTGTGGAGGGTGTTGCAAGAGCTTATGACCTATCGTGTCCCAGACATACTCACTTGGAGATAGGTCAGGCGATCGTGGTGGCTAAGGTAAACAGTTGATGCGATGTTGATCCTTGAAGGCTAACGATGCTCTGGCAACATGCAGTCTGGCATTGTCTTGCTGAAAAATCGGGTTTTGGATGGTGTTTAGGTATGGAATAGGATGAGGCTCCGCTACTTAATTAGTGGTGATTTGCTACCATAAGCAATATCACCCCATACCATAACTTCCACGGTGTGGTGAACGTGACCCTCTCTGTCAAATTGTGGGTCACGTCTTTCACCACGTCTCCTTCTCACTCTTGCTCGACCATCGTGCATCCCCAGACAGCAGCGGGATTCATCATAAAGACAACCTCATTCCATTCCCGGTCCCACAGAATTCTTTGTCTACACCAGAGCAAACGGTTACGCCGATGTTCAGCAGTGAGAGGTAGCACCCAATGTGGGCGATAAGAAAAAATCTAAACTGTCGTATTCGGCGATATAGCGAACGCATACCAACCATCCTTCCATGCTCTTCAAACCACTGATTAGCGATGACTCGAGTACTACTGAACCTGTCTCTCAGAGCCAGAAGTCTAAACTGGCGGTCTTGTCGCTCTGTGGTCCCTCTGGGACGTCCAAAGCCCCTCTCTCGCTGTCCTCGGCCTTCCTGAGTCCACGCTCGTTCTCCTAGAAACTTCTCTTATCGATAATCCTTGGATAGACCGGTTTTACGCAACCCAACAATTCGACTCCTCTCAAAGTCACTTAGTTGGGACACCCGGCGAATTTTACGCACTCTAGGCATTTTGAGCAATCACAAAAAGGCTTATCAATAAGCTACACGAAATTAAACATTTCACTGACACCATAAATAATACACGCAGCCACAACAAAAACTAACACAAAAACCTGACCATTTTATCACTTGTTGTTCATGGTAAGATAAATCGACATGTAAAAAATTCTTGAATTCTAATAAACATACGTAGGTGTTTTTTGTTACTCAATATAGTTTGTTGTAGCGCTAGTTACAATTTTTAGCTAAGCTGATATGTGCTAACATTTTGATTTAAGCAAAGCTTAATATTAAAACCATAAAATAAGTTGCATGTGCACAACCAACCATTTTGGTTTCAACGAGCTGGCATGGTTTTTCAGAAAAGTTAATCGGCTTATAAACCATGTTATCTAAAACATGGATGTAAATGGGAATGTGAAAGTCACGTATTATGTTTTCTTTCTTAGGTTAAAATCTTTGTTTGCCACACTATAGAGAATACCAAGATTGATGACAGTCGCGAAACTCATCGTACGCCACTGATATTACGCGGAGGCCTTCGAAAATGCGGCGCTTCTTTGTGAAACGTCGACAACCGTCGCTGTAATCAAAAGATACCGCGTCAAAGCAGTGGCGCACGATGACTTCTGCTACTGTCATCAATTCTGGCATTTGACTATAGCGGATTCTACTTGGTAGAATATACATTGTTATTATTATTAGTTCTCTCCAATCTATTTTTATATTTTTGAAGGCTGCTTCAAGATTCTCTGGGATGATTTTTTTATACTGAGGCAGTCGCGATAACTGATCTCAGCTCAGCGGAATATGGAGACTTGATTATCTGTTAAGGAAGTGTCACCGATCTATCGCACTACCCTCCTCTCAAAGTTCCAAAAATATTAAGTATGTACAATTAAAAATTTGAGGCTGGGATGGTAGAAGGTGATGTATATCTCAATATTTGAGGTGTCAGTATATTTTTACGCTTCCAGAATTACCGGGTAATTATATGCACCTATAACATACGAGGTCTGTAAATTAAGTGATGAGACTGATTTTTTTCTAATTCTTGTATTAAAATATAATTACAATTTTATATTGACACTATAAAATTACTTCCTTCTGAAGCCTCACAGCGCTGGAGTCGGTTCACTGTTACTGGAATAATCTTCAGCTGGTCGGTTACAGCCATTTGAATGCTTTCGACTGTTCCAAAATGAGTTCTCTTGAAGTGATTCAACTTCGGGAAGAGATAAAAGTCACAAGGACTCAAGTCAGGCGAATGAGAAAGCTGAGGAGCCACAGGCATGTTTATTGACATTGCTGTGTGACAAGGAATATCATCGTGATGTGATGAACGGTGGTGTGAAAATTTAACTCTTTCCCGATCATTCTGTCTGTCAACCGACAATCTGAATGCTCAAGACCCCGGAATCAAATGACTCTAGCGAGATCAAACCTGTACTGAAGGCAGATCACATGATCCCCTGTCTCCTCTCCAAGCTCGGCGCTTCCAGCGTTCCCAGATGGAACGCTACGTTACCAGTCTCATCACCTAGTTTACAGACCACTTATTTCGCAGATCATAGATATAAATGTACATTTGCCGGTAAGACAAAAAAAAATAATTTCAACTTTAAGTCTCTGGCAGCCCATCAAAATCAGATGCACTTCAAAACACCTCATTCACATTGCTGTAGATTAGACACATCAAAGGAAGGAAGATCAGCTGAAAATTACTTGAAGACAAACTGAATGACGAAAGAATTATCGTTTATCCAGGCTGAGTTTGAATTTCTACAGATCAGAAATTAATGCAGATCATATTGTCGCTGCTAACTGATGAATAAGAATCATAATGACTTTCTTGTTTCCCTCTCACGATTCCTTGGTAACCAACTTAACTAGCGTAACGTGAGCAAAATTTTAAATTCCATTCATCAATGAGTTAACAGCCTTGATAAAAATTACAGTGATTAGCTAATTTTGTTTACAGAAATAATTTTCTCGCAGCTACTTCACAGCCTACCTGGTTTCAATTTGAAGTTAGGATATATACATTGATTTGTAACTAAAAACCAGACACATTTCGGGAGTACAAAAAACAACTTATCAATGGTACTGGAAGAAAAAATTGCCGTGAAGTAAATTGTATTTTTTTCAGATTATGTTTAAAATAGTGAAAAAAATGGTGTTTTCGAAAACGGCACATCTGAACGAAAAATTCTAATATTTAGTTTTTTATTAGAACCAATCTGGCTTGAAAATATTATTCAAGAAATTAAGCAGGCTAAACATATAGACATCTTGATTTGAACACTACTGCTTTTTGAAATAATAATGTACATGTTAGTGTCCTTCCGGCATGGGTATCATGTAAAAAACCTACAAAACGTCAAAAAAAACTATAAGATGTCATCTTGCAAACTAGGTAGTTTTTAGGGCGCAAACAGTCATTCCACGGATCGTTGTGAACGTCCATCTAAATAGGAATCACTCAACTAAACTAAACGCATTATTGGTTATATAATAATATAATTATTTCTTATCTCTCTCATTTTTGAAATTCAGCAAGTTTGTATATGTAATTTCCAGAATGGATAAGAAAGAGTGAATGCGCAACTAACTTTGAATCTCAATTAAGTGTATCTGAGACAAGAACCCAATGTAATTATCATCAACACATACATCTCAGAAGCAGATTTTACATCACATCAGAGAGAAAGATTGATAACAAGCCTCATGAGGTTTAGGCAACACGTACAACTAAGTACTAAGTTAATATCTTGTTGAAAAACCTACATAATGTCAAAAAAACAGCATAATGTCAAAAAAATAGGCATAATGTCAATTTTCAAGTTACGTGATACCTGTACCGATCTTTTTTCACATTTTTATGTACTGGTCCTGACCTCAAATTTTCAACACAAGGTTCTATAATGCCCTAGATGATTTGACTCTCCTTTTTAATATAAAAACGTATGTTTTAAGAAAATATTTTATTTCCTGTCATGATATAAACAATACATGGTTCATAAGACTAGCGATTTATTCAACAAAAATAATAAATAATATACAGCAAGTGTAACTCTGATTCTACTCTTTGTAACAAAAGCTACAACAATTTCAGGATACTGGCCGCGCAAAAGCTAGCTATAATGCTTTCGTCATACTCCAATGGGCTTCAGCATTGTACAGATTTTAAATTTTTGAAAAACGTTCATCACAATGTCTTCGAGATACTATTTCCCACGATACATCTCCCCAGTCTGACGTGCGTTTACATAAGAGCTTCCTTGTATTAATTTTCTAGTGGATCTGTTTAAACTTAGTAGCATAACAGAACTACGGTCAGCAAATTCTGATTCTAATTCTTAACTAACTTGACATATGGACATGATTATTAGCGATTATATCGATTGGTTCGTTCTGATTGTAAAGCGACACTTTATTTCCACTTTGTGTATTCAAAACAACTCACTCAAAAGAGTCAGCGTCGCTGGAAAGTAGAAGGAAACCGCTTCAATATTTGTCATTTGCACGAGTCATTTCGCGTCACTTCACGATATGCGATATTTTTAATCCTACTAGATATTTGTGCTACGTTCTGACATGTGGAACTGTCGTGTAGAATAGTGGACAATTATTGAAAGAATAAAAATATGACTAAAGCGGCCTTAGCTGTGCTCATATGCTTGTGCATAGGCGTGTTGTTCTTCCCCTGCATCCTGGTGCTGGTAAAGATCCTGATGTTGGTACTCTGGTTTAACAAGATGATGGTGATGGTACTCCGGTTGTTCATGATGCTCTAATTGAATGTGCTTAGACGGCTCTGTCTTGTGAACGATGGCGTTGAACCCGCTGTGTTTGTCAGCTGTGTACTTCACAGTGCGGATAGAACCATCTGGCTCTACCAGTGAGTACTGTCCTTTGACTACGTCTCCATCCCTTTCCTCATGGGCGCTCTTGATGTCTCCTGTGTGGTGATCCGATACGCCGTATTTAAAGGTGTACTTCGGAGGTGACTGAAAAAGTAGTGCCAGTTAAAAATTATGTTTGTAGCTTGAAAATCTTGGTAAACTGATCTATGTGAGTGATTCACCAAATATTTGCATTCGCATTTGTGAACATGCGTACGTTTCCTGATATTCGCATCCGCATTCGCAAAATTCATGCGAATATGAATAACAGTAAACATAATATTAAAATAATAACGTATTCGAATAAAACAATAAATATTATTTTTTTCACTAGAAAAGCATGTTTGTAATAGACAGACAAAAACATTATTCTCCACATAAGTATTTTTCCAGCATGTTATAAACATAAACATCATATATCTCTAGTTAGAAAACATAAGTTTCTTTCGTTTTATGAATGAATTGATATAATCTAAACAGCGATGAAGCTTTCAAATCAGTGAATATATGGTTCACTTCAGAGTGGAAGGGATCAGCTGAGCTAACCTTGATTAGAACCTAACCTAAAAAAATATATTTTTCTAATTTATCATGAAGCTAGAGTCAAGGCCAAGCATTCTTGCGGTTTGCTGACGAGGATTACCACAAAGATACAAATGTAAACACATTTAAAAATCTCACAATTTGAATTCGGTGGATTTTGTACGAAAAGAAAATAAACTCAACCTAAATGCTACAAATGAGGATAAACCTCACTCAGCTGAGGTTAGTTAAGCTGAGTTTTGGTAAAAGGGAACAAACCGAGAAAACTGGTGTGATTGTATGTAGGACGGATGAAGCTGTAATTATGGAATAACAACTCCGAACAAACTAAATATATTCTTTTTTAATTTTATCATTATTTGGTTATAAATGCTTTACAAATTAAAAACACAAATACAAAAGACAATTATTTTCTTAAAATTGTTGTGGAAAAAAATGTTTTTTACAAACTAGATACTTTTGCTTGTTTTCTTATTTTTGAAACTGAACTAGAAATTTTAAACTTCAAATGTCTTCTCTCCAACTATGATTCAATGTAGTGTATAGAGTAGAACAACGGAATATTCGCATCCGTATTCTTTCAAATCCAGCAATTTCAGTATGATTGCTCGTGAGTTTTCATCTGAGCGATACGGAGATCATTGAATAGGTTTAGTACCTTATTTTGAAAAAAATTGTAAATTATGAAAGCTCAAATCTAATTTTTAGTAATAAAAAGTCTTACATTGGTTACCTCTTTTCTTCGAATCACAAAAGGACAAAATAGCCTTAAACTAGTTCAAAGGGTCAGCCGAAGTTCTTTCTCCACATTTTGGAAACGTCATGTACATGTTATGGTGACGCAATACTGAACCAAATTTTCTCTCATGATCAGGTATTAAAATGATTATGATGATTATGTATCTGTTTAACACACGTTCACAGATGCTATGAAGTGAAATGGCTCAGTAACAGATGCTCAGCGAAAATATCCTGAAGATTTACAGAAAGGTTTCACTTATAAACTTCGAAATCACACGTACTGCTATAGTACAGTTCCAATGGAGCACATTTCATTAAAAAAATATGGGTAAAACGATATACGTTATAGAGATGGTAACCCATCTGACCAGGTGCCCAATTCTAACGGAGTTTTGTCCGTTGAAATTAATTTCGATAGCCTTTTGCCGTCATTCATTTGATAGACCATGATAATTTTGACACTGTCATGATAATTTGATTTCAGAGGATCGTTAGAATCAAATATCAAAAGTATCATAGCGGAAAAAAATTCGGGTTGTTATTTGGTTGTTGCCACGTCTAATCTTCCGAATTGCCGTTTATGTTGGTAGTTTCCGTTTTAAATTATAAACGAATTGTAGATTTGGCAAACCCTAAAGGGCAACATTTTGAACACCTATTGGAATAAAAAGTGATATTTTTGTGTAATTTTGTTTTCTATCTAAACAAATTAAGATAAATAAATATTTTTCTAATTTTCTTTAAAACGGATCGACCGATTTTAAAAAATCAAACTTCCCAAACAAGCTACCACTCGATACCCCTTGTCATTTAAAATTTGTAAGGGGATGACCTTGGGGGGCAGAGGGTGAAAGGCGGTGAAGTAGTTTTTTTGTTTAAAACAAATCTTTTAACGTGTCTTGGCGTTTTTTCTTTTAATCAGCGGTTTTCGATAAATCCGTGGTGGAACGTTTTCAAATGAACACCCTGTATTTATGACGGGAAGACGGCGCATAAATTAATTTCAACAGTATGTATATATTGTCTAAAACCCTTCTAGTACCATATTTGATGTAAGAGTGTGTAATACTTTATAGTTAATAATTATACACAAAGTTTCGCCACTGTCTTCTGTCTTTTGCAAGTATTCTAGCTTCAGCTGCTGTAATTCCTCTCCTTTACACAATTAGAATCAGACTTTGTTGCTTTTGCTCATTATTTCGTGAAACCTGTTGTAAAATTCACGAGAAGAAATAAGAACCAATAATTCCCATGTGATTGATGTGATCTTTAAACTTTTAAAACATTCCTATGTTGTCATGGAGATATAGATGGGACTTATATATTTATATTATTAGCTACTGGCACCGTGGCAAATCCAGCATATTTATTTTTTTAAGACATCAGAAGCTTAAGGAACTGGACTATCATCAGGCAAGTGAAAATTTTATTACTGACTAATATTTTTATTTACTTTCATCTGAACCGCGTATGTGCGAAAAACAGCTATTCGAGTGTCCTAAACTCATTGATAACTTTTCTTTGTGCAATGAAATACTCACTAAGCATCATCTTATCATTATAACTATAATAACTCGCAGTCATAGCTAGCTCTGTTTTTGGTAGCATTAAGTTGACAACGTTGATATATGCACAGAGGTAGAATATTCTTTGAAATCCTCGTAAAAGAAGTCTTATAGAAACTGGGCAATACATTATGGTCTGTTTAAATCTAGAACTCCTTTATTATTTGATAGTAACATTCACTAGATCAATTTTCTTAAACTGCCAAGATGATCAAGCAAGGCCAAATGTTAATATATCAATTTTTGTTTTTTTCAAACCTACTACTTCTTGCAGATTCCAAAGATAATTAGTATATAATGAAGATTCAGAGAAAATAGGAAATCTATTTTGGATTAACATAAAATAACGGCATTTCCTGAATCCGTGATATATTGGTACTTGGCATACCGTTACGTGTAACAGCAATAAAGAAATTGAATAATGGTTATTCAAGGTAATAAGTCTGCGAAATATTATATGTATACATACATATGTATATTAGTTACTAAATTCAAACATATTTGAGAGGTTACTATTAATACTGTGTTTAGACAAATACGCACAATACATACGTAACACTACTGCTACCATCAGAGCTATCAAAAATTGTTAGTAGAATGAACAAAACACTTAATTCATTATCAAGAGCCTCTAAAGTCGAAGATGATATTCATTCATTCATTCATAATAATACTATAGTCCTTAGAAAAAAAATAGCAGCCGTCTTTTTATACTTTCCGATCTTATATTTGCTAAATATCGGAAGTTATCGAAAAGTGAAATTTGCAAAATACTCCCATAACCCAATGGGGTCTTCAAACTTTCACCAATTAGGATGAGGGATCATTAGATTACAGTGCGGATTCTATAGATTTATTTTGTAGCCTGCAATACTTGCTAATGCGCTGTATCCAGCCTTAGCCGTCAAATCTTTGACAAAAGAGGTGCTCTGGAGTTTTTTTTTGTTGTCTCTGCAGAACTAGCATGTAGCCTATCCTTCTAGGATCAAGAGTATAATATGTTAGTTTAGACGACAGCGTCTTGTCTTGTCGGTCTATGAACTTTCTTGTCTAGCTCTGACCTTACTTACTGTCTTTAATATGTCGATTCTATCTACAAAACGGCTACAATGCTCGGCAATGCAGTCAGAAAGAGACAGCTGCCATATATTGCCGAGTGACATGGTGGCAAGCCCAAGTCGCTGCCCTTCTCGTCAATGAGCATGTCCTTTAACTTTGTTCCGAATAAAGTATATCACAAAAACAAATAATTGCACATACATAGTAATCAACAATATGCTCCTCCTTTGGTACAATATGGTGATGATAATGTTGATGACCCGAATGTTCCTCCACAGCTAGGTGATGATCATCCTCAAGCGCCTGCACGTGTAATTGTCTTTGAGTATCCTTGGATCCTTCTCCACCGTAGTGCTGGTGGTCGTACTGATCCTGAGCAACGCCATGATCGTTTTCTTGGGTCGTGTGTTGATAGATTATTCTCGATTCTGCGAGGAGTGCGAACGTTACAAACAGTAGTACCTGCCGCAAACAAACAAGATTAAACCTGGAAACTCAAAATGTCCACCATACATGTTAACATGCAAATGCGTCCTGCTGTACAGGGTGGTCAACTAAGAATACGAGGTACTGTATCTGGAAACCTATACACCGTAGAGGCTTGCGGCAAAAAAAGTTCTTACTGATACGGCCAAGAGAAAAGCCTGAGGAATATTTTCTGAAATGGCCGAAGATAATGTGAACTTTCATTTGACAATTTTTGCTGTATCTCTAAAAATAAAGTGGTGGGGAGTATTCAATGGTTTCCCTAAAAAGCACTCTGATTCTTCGAAACGCCTGAACCGATTTTAACAAAATTGGGCTAGTTTGTTAGTTTCACATGTGGCCGCTAAAGAGCTTTTTTGGACATTCCGACAGTAACGATTGATTTTCTCAAAAAAGCGAAATGCATTGGTACGATTTTTTTATACGAAAAAGTAGCTAAATGACGTCCGAATATGCTCGCGAATACCGCATCTCGATATCTCGTTCCTATCCTAAGATTTAGAGCAAAGACGATTTTATACGGAAATCTCTCAAATTTTTATTTTTGTAACAAATTTTTCTGAAATTTCTTTTTCTTATTATGTTGTGACCCTCAAAAGGACCGATTTAAAAAACGTTTTTAATGCCCTCGTAAATGCTCGAAATGCTGATCATCACGCTTTATGCATTCCTGATGCCTCTCATGGGTAGACAAAACTGCAGCTCCAATTTCGGATCTCGGCATGCTACGTATTGCATTACGAATCTGGTTTTTAATAACTTCTCTGGTTGTAAACTAAATCTGCAGCACAATGTCCTTTAACCGGCCCCATAAATAAAAATCAAGACAAGTTAAGTCTGGTGATTGCGAAGACCATGGAAACAGACTTCCTCTTCCAATCCACCGCTGTTGAAATACTGCATTAATATGTTTTCGCACAATAATAGCAAAATGTGCGGCGCGACCATCCAATTGCAAAAACAAATTTTTGCCATGTTTTCAGTGGAACATCTTCCAACAACAATGGTAATTCATTGTCCAAGAAGTCAAGAAGGACATTGCCATTTAGGGATTGCTAGAAAAAATACGGCCCAATAATTCTGCCTCCCAGTACGCGACACCACACTCTTAAACTCCAACACCCTTGATGCTAAACTTCACATACAACCAATGCAGATTTTCTGCAGATCAATAATGTATATGGTGCAGATTGAGTCTCCCGTCACTATTAAAGGTGACTTCATTAACTAATTGAAATAAACATTCTCTATTTTCACACATCATTCAACATTCAATATCAATAGTCCAACCTCAATTCAAAGTATTCCTCTTTCAAGGCCTGATGCAAAACGACATGATATGGGTGCATCCATAAAGTAATTAAAAAAAGGTAAATTTAAATAAATCCATATATTTTGATGGCCATTAGAACTTACCTATGGTCCTTCAAGATATTTTCGTTGTCGTAATACACCCAACTCAAGGCATAAGGTCCTTGTGCTAACATGAGGATTTCCTTCAACATACCCCAGTACGAGGTTAATATTTTCTAGTATTCTTCCAATTCTTTGCCGTTGAAACGTATACCGAAAACCACCATTGACTCATAAGCTCGCCAATAATCGGGGAAAAATTCTCACATCCCAAGACGCGTGAGCTCTTTTTGCTACTGCGGCTTTCTGAAGACATTAAGAATGAACTGCAAGCATATCAACAGCTTCATCGTTCGTAAAACGCTTTTGGGAAGCACAAAAATTGGTCAAAGTAACGCGAAGCTATTGACAATTTGAGCCTGTACGATGGAGAAGTTCCCAGATACAGTACCTAGCATTCCTAGTTGCCCACCCTATACAAATATATATAAATTTGCACATTTTGGTCTAAAATTATTCGATCGGTACCTAATTGGTTTAATCAATATTACGCATTTAGTAGTACTCGTAAAAATGAAGGACACGCCTAGATTCATGAAAAAGATTTGCAATATTGCTAACTTGTATTCCTATAGGGATGCGTTCCGGTAGTAGCAGTATTTGTTGCTGGGCATAATGCTGTACACTCACTATACATTACTCATTAATCACATAATGAAACGTTCTTCATATTCATGTGATCCATTTTCAAGTTTTTGTACTTGGATGGTTGAAGATGTACCGCACGCAGTATCACGTTATGGCGTCGCCGACATCTAAAAGCGCTTGCCGTCTCATTAGAAATGCTTAATCTTGTACGAATACTTTTTATATATGTCAATATCAGCAATTTTTGGAGTGCAAAGTACCTAGGTGACTCTAGATAGCAACAAACAGACAATTGTTTATTCTGATTAATGTAACGATGAGCGTTTTTGACTTCTTTGTGTCGTTTTTATAACAAGGAGACCATATCGAAACGCAATACGTTCATCGAGGTATGCGTATGCAGATCCATGTTTTCTCGCGGGCAGGATTTCTGTTCACATACGCATGTCAAATCACCGTTTAGCGCTCGTAAACAGAAGCTTTTTATGCACTGTCTGCTTACTGGGGCACTCTCATCACTCAATGGAGCGCAAAGGATGTACACACTACATACCGCGATTGCTAATTATTTCAATTCCATGTGATATATGCACACGTACAGCAACGGACTATTAATTTTCCGAGAGTTTAACCACCGATCGTTTACCAGAATCGACCGTAGGTAGAGGGAACAAGTTTATGATTTGCTTCTCTCTAAGATCTTATTGTCTGTAGTCAGGATGAAAGTTCATACTACAAGTCGACCAGGTTCAAGCCGCCAGTTAAGACAGTTGTCATTTCACATAAAATTCTCTGTGAAAGTACGTGTCTTCCATTTAAACAGTACAATCGATCGATAAGTGTTGCTATATTGAGACACAGTGACCAAAAACATAAAACACCTATCCACATTTAGCCACCTGTGGTCGAACGAACGAAAGCTGTATTAGTAGTTTGTTTGATAACGAGTGAACCGTGTCTACTATACCACCAGAACCGGGGGTATCTAGCGGTCACAGTAGTGACTCGACTATCAAAAGTGAGTTGGGATACAGATTCAACAGAGGACTTGCACTTTGAGATCCCTTGGGACTTCCATGAAAATCATTAGATTGCCTTGGGTATTCTACTAGTGGGATCTTGTCCTTTTGTGTATTTGGGCAGCGGATTGAATACCTAAGGCTTCAATTTTTGAATTGACTGCGGTTGGTTTAACCGATAAGAACTTCTTTTGGTGATACTTTCGATGCCCAAGAAACAACAAGGAAGTTTATGGAAATAAGGTAACACAAAGTGCCATCGAAAACTGTCTTACTAGTTTAATATAGAAGTCGTACCGATTTGGAATAAGATGAATTCTGATGAGTATGTAGATCAGGCCATATCTCAACCTACTGTCAATGTTAAAGACATTTCTTAAAGAAGCGCTCCTATATGTCGGTTCACTCACCTTTAGAATATCGCATCCAGTCTCAAAAATGTTACCCCAACCAAAGAGGCTATAATGCGCAAAGTACTTCCTAGCTCTGAACTAAATAACTGAGCTGCTGGAATTAACGAGACGTATTCTAGCCAAAACATGTCACCAGTGACCTGAAGCTCGACAAGTCCAAACGAATGATTCCAGCATATCTGTACTACCCCTTAGAAATATTATGCTACACCAAATTACTGCGCAGCCCAAAAAAAGGTTCGCCTATTGTTCACTCCTGACTTTTTTACATCGAAGTGGCCGCGCAGGTAGAATCCTAAATACCATCAGGACATCTCGGCTGCTATGAAGATCCCAAAGAAACTTTGTTAATACGATTTTTGAACTGCCTAAGGTTAGTAGAACTGGGAAAAGCCTACTCTTGTAGGTTGTTCTACAAACTTGACACCCTACAAAGGAGCGGTTGTATCATCCAGTTCTTCTGAGGGAGGTCGTAGGATGAAAGTGTGCATAAACGGGCCGCATACCACAGCTGGTAGAACGCTTTCATGATATCAAGAGCAACGACATGAGCTTCACCATATGACTGGATAAGCTTGCTCTTGCAGGTGCCGGAAACCATACTGCTTGTCGCTAATCAAGCCGTGACTTTCGAGATAGTCCAGAAGCTGACGATTCATCCACCTCTCCAGCTGTTATTTCTGTAAAGTTGTGGGTTCCTCTGAGATTCATACTATTTCCTTTTTATACGAGTTCACCTAACTGATTCAATTACTTTAAACAGTCGAAGTCCGTCCCTGTCTTCCACTTTCAATACAGTCGTCGGTAAGTGGACATTAGAATTGCAGATGATATTTGCAAAGGAAGACGTTGCAAAATCTTACTTTCGTCGAGAGCATCTGCATTTACCTATAGTGTGTTTAGAATGGTACATACTACATACATTCAGTTAGCGACATCATGTTTTTGTATGCATTCATTCCGACATCGCTAAGTCCTAGGGAATTAACCAAACTGAGATAATTCAATGTCTTATTACCGTAAAATTTTAAAAGTTTATATCAAAATATATCCGGTAATGATTCGTTGTCAAGAGGAGGGCGAAAAACTGTTTTTAAAAGTTCCTTTATTTCGTAAAAATTGTAATGATTCTTTGGTTGAATTCCAAGAACACCGGCTATAAAATTATTAAATATTGTACGAATGTATTATAGGACCTGTTTAATAAGGTTTTTGTCTAATCACTCTAGGACTGAATCTTGCCAGTCTTGCTGAAATTCAGTCAAATATTATTGCGTTCAGTATATTTCACTTTATTACCTTGCAATTTCAATTATTCATCAAACTGATGGTACTAACTGACTTCAGGTCTTTTGTCAAATTTTGACAATAAATTATTTCTATATTTTCCTGGCAGGTGCCTGGAATTATCTATAAAAAGCCGACAAGCTTTTTTACAAAAAAATAGATTGAATTTTTATGAACTCGAGGGACAGTGAAAAAAGATTGAATCAAGTGTACGTAAATAGCTTCATAAACACGTAAACACATTTTAAAAATGCTTAGTCCTGAAATAGCGTATCTTTAATACACAATTTTTCCATTATTTCTACTGTATTAGTTAGGGTTTTCAAACGCTTATTGATTTAGACTCTGGACAGACTTGCAAAATATTCCGTTTACATCCCCGATTGTGCATTATTCGAGGCTATAGTTCAGGATCTGATATACATCTCGTATACCACTACAGGTCCATCATATATGCATTCAAAGAAGATAACAATTGCGATTAGGCGTTGGTACATGTTCAGCTATCGGAATCTAAAATGTGAAAAATTGCTACATAATAACCCCAAGCACCACTACCGGAAATCAAAAGGACAAAGAAATTGCATATTTGTAAACAGCATAGTTCTGTGTACCATCGTACCTCATTTTAAGAGAATTGGACCTTCTTGAGAAAATTCAAAGATTTTTTGGGGCAAAGATAATCATGATATACAGGAAGTCTACTCTTTCTTCCCCTGAGAAAAGTTCCTGCGGCACCCCATAAAAAGGTTATATCGTGGTTCATGGAATCCTAGAATATCCACCATCACGTCCGAAATCCTCAAAACTGTGGCACTCTACACATTCACAAAGCACATACCTTATTAACATAAAACATCGCGAAACCGCAGAGAAAAAATCCACCGGTAAACCACACGAAAACCAACAAAGACTGTTTATTAGGAGAAATTACACTTTGCCTTATATATGCTTTCTTCTTCACCGGCGGAGAAAGACAGCCATAGTACGCTGTATGTATGCAAGAACAGGATGAAGGTGTTGTATTCAAATAATTGAGCGGTAATTTGATTGATCTTATCAGACGGATGCCAGACGGAGAGAATCCTCAAAATTATAGCTGTTGAGTAATTTTATTACTAGTCAGCAGATGTCTAATGCTAATATGGTGCCACGTACTCTGACGTAGAGATGAAAGGTTCTGGACTTAACAGTGGCCAGATATTTGCCACCTGACCAAATTAGAGGCCAATGATACTTACATTGGCCTCGAACCAATTAGAATTGGCAAACATGAGGTTATTATCACCATGGACGTTTGTAGACAGGCAGGTCAAGAAGTCCATACTAGGTGATTTGAAGAATTCGTAGAATCGCATATAGAATAGTTAGTATCAGAAAACAAATTGCTCTACTGGACTACTAGATCTTACCATATGCGCTATATCAGGCTGATCTGAAAAATAGTTTTCTTTCTACAGCTTATGGTGGTATGGTAGGCGGATCAGGAGAGTGCTCATATTAGAAACGATAACAATTTGCCCGCTGTGGTTGAAACTGTCAAACATCAAGAAAAGCTAGCTCCTTTGTATATGATAATTCATAACAAAATGGATGTGGAAATGATTTACAACATTCATTTATATCGTAGAAGGTCAAAGAGACGATGGTATATCATAGACTGGGCCGTATTACGCTATACTAAGCTCTCTGGGCACACAGGAAGTTAGGGGCCTGTTTCTGAAGGAGTCCCAGGTCAGAGCCAAATCAGGGGTCCTATTTTGCCGTTACATTTTGACCCTCATAAGACCTGGGACCTAGGTTCGACTCATGTGCCCATAAGGTAAGGCCAGAATAGATCATACCTACAAAGATTGTTTTTTTAAACAGTTAGGTACAATTCACAAGCCATAATTTGAATGACTTTTTTGAAGACAAACTAAACAAAGCTAGCCAAAGAAAAGGTCTGTAAAATAGGTATAAATCATATCACTGCGCATCTCAGATAAAATATATCCATCTCCCTGACATGGATAAAAAGTTGCATATACGACGATTTCTTACCATGGATTATAAAGGTGGTTACTTGTTACTTCACTGGCGAGGAGGTACTGCTATCGCAAAAAAATTGAAAAATGAGATATTATGTTTTTCATTGCTTATCATTTCCGTCGGTCTGTCGGTTTGATTGTCCGCTAATTCTTGGCCCGCCTTTAAATTCCTCTCGGATTTTGAAGAAATTTTCAGAGGAGACAACTACTATATCAAGAACGGAACAGCCTTATACTTTTTGAAAATCGATCCAGTATTGGCGGCAAAAACGACAAAACGTTGTTTGACGCTTCAGAGGCTCCTGATCATTTTAACAAACAATTTTGTATGGCTTAAAGATCGGTAGTTGGGAGTAGTAGGGGGTGAGAGGAGGGTATAACCCTTTTTTTGGCGGCAGTATATTTATACAGTTCCAACCTCTGTGATATTGCTACATATTCCACACACCATAGAATTGGCCGTAAAACTTTATGAAGTATTTGCAGACGCGACACGCAGCCGGTCGAGACGATGGCAACCTTCATGCTTCAAACTCTGTGTGCATCGCCAGCGTTCTCGATCTCGAGTTATAGTGTGGTGGCTGGCGCTTGTAGCATGGCTGACTGGTGTGGCTCAGCACCGTTGCCAGATAGTCGATATTTACGGTAGGGAGGAAGCTACCGTTATCGTTAACAATCGCGTGGACTATGTAGTATGAACTAATTGGATAACTTGAAGGAAATTATTTGTTAAAGATGGTTGTGGCTAGCTCAGAGGGACTAACTCTATCCTTTACGAACTGATGACAGCGTTGCGTGGAAAATTCATAATCAACCTACTCGACGCCATTTTTACACAGTGACGATCTGAAAATGTGGGGCTTCCACCTGGTATGCTCACGGTTTACGCTCGACGTGGAATATAATCACAATTCAGGAAGCAATATTCCTACACGATCATCAGTATTTAATCCGATTACTGTGTCCGCCCGAAAACTGCTAATAACGAAAATTGTATATAGTAATATATAGTTTTGGAAAATAAACGTTTGACTATGTTTAAAATTGCTTAGGCTGTGGGCATCTGAAATGAACTTGTGTTTTATAGTTTGAAGAATAAATTAGAATCTAGAAATCAAATTGACCAGGTGAGTACCGCATTCGCGGACTTGAGATGAAAACGAATTCGAGTACGACTTTTCAAACAGCATCTGGATCAATTTTCAGAAGATTTTTTGCATCGACTCAATGGATTACCTTAGTTTGCTACTGAAAGCCTAAATTACGAAATCAAACCGCAGGGTATATTGAACCCAGTTTCTGAGATCCGTTTACTGACATGCAAGGGATTTGTTGAAAAGTTACCCGTAGGCTGGTGAAATTATGATAGAGTATTATCATAACCTCCTTAAGCTGGCTGTAAGAATTCGGGAAAGAAGATCAGGTTTACAGATGAAAAAGTCACCTTTCATGGACATAATGCACCTACTCATATATTCGGGTTGAAATGATTGTGTTAAAGAAAATTTGGCACAACACTTAATTTGAAGGTTTTCATTGAGAGTATTTTCAGAAAACGTCACAATTTGGACAATGATGCTAAAGGCTGCATTCTGAATAAAAAACAGCGTTATGACTAGTATTAACTATCAAAAAGCTACAAAATGAAGCAATTTCCAGAGTTTATTGGATTATTACAATTTTTAGATTGCCTAATAATGAACACCTGACATGAAAATATCACCATCTTTCACTTCATTCACATTTCCTTCTTATGTAATGGTGCTCCTTGACCTATTATGATCTACGCTAAGCCAGTCACCAGGATTGAAATTTATAGAATAAGCTTTCTACTATCTATGTATAATAAAATTAGAGCGGTAATTCCATGCCGAGATTTATTACTGTTAAATTACTTCTGTGGACTATAAACTATTCCAAATTTACATTTCGAACTTCTAATTGTTCTCTCTTCAGTTTACAGGAAGGCTGATTCACCATATGCTTCGATATACAAACTCAATATACAGGGTGTCTCCAAAACATGAGGCAAAGGTTCAATGGATGATTCGTTTTCGATTTTTCTAATAGGTAGGTGGAACATGTAAGGCCAGGCTAACAAATAAGCAGTTATGATATAATAATATCATTTAATAAATCGTTTTACTTGGAACCAAGGATTTGATCAAAATATCTGCTTGTATTACTTAAATTAAATATAAGGGTCTTTAACTAAAATGTAATATTAAATAGGGGAAAACCAGGTCACTTGACCCATTTATCACATAAGAGCGCATATCTTCGTGTGAAATGAACGTATTGCCATGACAAATTCTGCTAATGCGCCTAAAGCGGAGAGAGATTTTACCCTGAGTTGCGTAAGGTTATAAGTAATCAAAGGTCGTTATAATTATCATCGTTTATTGAAAAATGCAAGTGTCCCAAATAAATTAAAAATCAATAAAAAATATAAGTGTATAACTTTTCAAACTTTATAGCTGCTTTACTAATAGACTTCTCTTTGTTAAGATCGACCAGCTCATTGCTTGTTGTGACTACATCAATTTTGTTTGTTTTTGTTTCTGATACTCTGTTCGTGTTTGTACTTGAAGGGTATTTTCGTCAGTTGTCATGAAAAATAAAATGAGTAATATTTTGATATACTTCCTAAGAGTATTAAACAAATTATGCATCCCATATAATAAAGGCTCAACTATGATATTCTCTAAAAGCCTAAATTTCGATCTCATTTAAATTGCTTCCAGGATAAGCAGTTTGAGCATAGTTGTATCAATTTTGATACCGGATACAATATGCTGGTTCCGCCATTTAGAAAATACAGTCATGATAAATCAGCCTGAACATCCAAAGATACAAGCTCAGATCAATCAACATTTAGATTTTTGTCAAACTTTGAACAACACCGTTTTTCTCAAAAGCAGCTCATTTTAATGGAAACAAACATTATGCATTTTTGAGCTAAATATGTCTGACTTTTCTAAAAATGTAATATGGAGATACTATTATAAAGGGAGTATCAGCAATATTTCGTTAGTTCTAGTCCATCCCTGATTATCTAAATGAGTTGTTTTCAACTGAAATGATCGTATGCGGCCTAACTTGTCAAGCGATATTAAAAAAACGGATTTCTGGTGGCATTAAATCCTATTTGGGCAATTCATCGTCTTTCTAAATTTTAACGCGTCTTAGGGCCGTAGTGCCGTAGTGACACTTTTCCGGATATGGGTCCCTATACTCAAATGTTTTCTACTGTTACACTGAATAACTCCTAGAAGTTGGATCCCTTAGTTCTAAGTATATTGCTTCCGCCATTTCGAAACTCTAAAAATTATGATCACAAAGTCATAATTCATAATAAGCAACCCGACAAACTTCCGGATATATATTTTCAGATCACCTGTGTTATGCTGCTCTCGTCCGTTTTGGTACCAGACTATGGGATCTTCTTTAACTTTTTGAGGATTAGCTTCATCGTAAACTGACAGGAGCAAAACAACAAGACTGTATTTCTCAAAAAGTTTCTTTAAGCTCCTCATAGCAGTCGCGATGCCCTAGTATTTAGGTTTCTACCTGAGCGGCTACTTTGATATAAAAATAGCGGTCAATAGTTTTTGCCAATCCTGTATCCCTCGCCAGGACTTCTAAAACTGTTCATTTTATTCTGGTCACATTGCTCTGTTACGAAAACCTAAGACCAGAATGAACGTGCGTTCGCAGAACAACATCGGAAGTGCGCATTTGCATGTTAGTACTTTTACTCACGTTATTGTTGGATTTATTAGGCTCAACTAAATTAATACGCTGGAGATGATTTGCATTAGCACACGATCCGTTGTAGAACTTTCTTCAGTTGCAGATTATAAACGAGAGTGATTTTTAATGGCGAATTTAATGAACACAAGATTATCCAGTTTACATTTTATAGCAAAAATACTTGCACCTAATTGGATACCTTGCACATATATGAGAGGGATAATAAAACGCTCTTCATCATGATAAAATGTAAATTGACAATTGTTGTTTAAATAAGACGTGCGTTTCTTTTTAATGCTTTTTCTTGGTCCTGGGCTTATAGCAACTTTTTTTTATTAATACCCTGTATTGCCACCATAAAAATTTTAGGTGAGGTTGTCACAGTAGTTGACACCAGTGATTGGTCAAGCTCCTATGAATGATTTGTCATGTGTGACAAAAAAACAGAAATATCTACTATTTTGTATGAAAATTTTCACCCTTGACCTTCATATATATGGTTACGCTATGTCTTTGGCGAGCTCCAAGAGAATGTGCCACATATGTCACCAAAATTTTTATGGAAACGACATGCTAGAAAGCACAGATAGAAAATACTATTGTCGAGCATGCTTTAGATGTAAAATATCTGCAGGTAAATCTTTGAAAGCTATTAGTTTTATAGTTCCTTGTAAATACAGTTAGCGGGACGACCCGTTTTATTAAATTTTCAGTACTGCCAGAAATATCCAAAAAAATTTTGAAACATACTTTGTACAGCACTGCTATCCTGTCTCCCTTGGGTAACTAAGACCACGGTATTGTGGGGGTTATGTTTCGGTTAGAACCCACTGTGGCAGCAGAAGCTCGCCCAAGCCGCAAAATTTTGCATTACGGAGATGCCGACTTTCCTTGGAGATACGAGGTTAATTCAAAAAGTTTCTGCGAATTTTGAATTTTCGCGGGCAACGTATGTTCGATTTTCGATCTTTTTGTGGCGATATGTTGATTCTCATGACTCTCACTAATGTTGACAATATCGGCCATTTTGAATGTTCAGTCAGTTTTTGACAGCTATTGTGCGTGGACGTGTTTTAGCTTGTCTGCGATTTTTGTCTATTCAAAAAATGGATCAAAGAATTTGTATTAGATTTTGTGTAAAAAACAACTTGAAGTGTGCGGACATATTTCAAATGTTGACTATTGCATACGGCGCATATTGAAAGGAACTTCTCACAGAGTAGCCTTCCACCACTTACGTGTCAGGATGGAACGATTGTAACCGACTCAAAGGCTAAGGGGGTAGTGCTTGCCAAGACCTTGGCTGCCAACTCCACCACGTATGTCCCCCCCAACGCCCAAATACCGTCGCTTGCCTACACTATACGGGAAGTAATATTCAGGCATGAGACCGCAAGATGGATGCCCTTGTCGCTCGAGATCAATAAAGCTTCTGGTCCTGGCTTGATTCCTGTAGTTGCATTGAAGGGGAGTGCAGCGGAGCTTTCTCCAGTTATTTCGCTTCTCTTACAGCTAACATACGAATCCGGCACCTTCTCAGTGTACTGGAAATTTGCTCATGTCCAACCCATCCCAAAATAACGATGTAAGACTGATCCGTACAACTATATACGTATAGATCTTCTTTCTGTTATAAGTAAGTTGATGGAGAGGTGTATCCGATCAGATGTGGCACGCTGCCCTCTTGTGCAAACTTTTATCCTTTGGCCTTCCAGAGAAGCTTTGCAGATGGGTGGTTGACTTTCTCTCTGGCCGCAAGATATCCATCGTAATTGACGGGCCCCCTCTTCATCCCACAACGTCAATGCTTCCAAAACACAGTACTGTACCTTGTCGAACAAAAAGCGTCCTAGCGCTGATCCGGTTTCGATGGATGGTCGAGTTCTGCCAAAGAGTCTTTCACTTCGGTTGGTCGGAGTCCAGATCACCGAGTACTTGATCTGGCACGGAGACACCTCGTCAATAGCGACATCTATACCTTAACCGTTGCTTAAGGCTCCACACAACATGTTCCAACAGTTTTTTAAATGTCTCTTCTAGTAGTCAAAATGCGATAAAACCCGAGTCGATCCCAGTTCTCTAGAAAACCAATCCTCAAGTTTGCACTTCTAAAAAATCTATAGAGAGGCAGAAGTAACAGAATAAATTGCAATCCATGATCCCTTAGGATAGCCTGCCCTATAATCGGGTACCGAAAAGGAAGAGAGCAGCGGAACATATCGCACGCCATTGTCAACGCGGCATCTCTTTGAGTTATAATAATGTTTTTTGGAGTAGCGTACACAAAACCGTTATTTATACAATAAACATAAAACACCCAAAGAAATTTGAACTTGTGCTTGGGTGCACAGTGCAGTTAAGCTTACAAAATCATATTTTCATAGTTGAAATGTTAGGCTACACTATTCAGGCAATTTTTGATATTAAACTGATTGCCCGTATAATATTTTCCCATCAATGTAGTTCAAACATAAATACGCACATGATATACATAAATTGCTTTGAGTACAATAATGATTCTTAATGTCTATAAGTTTGTGGATGGAGTTCCTTAGTTGCTGTATAATCCATATTATTTCTTTTTTAAATCTTATTGATGCCGGAATATGATTAAAAAATGTTAGGCCTGAAAAAAATAAGATATCCTTTTTGTAGATTTTCGCACAGACACTTATTTTTGTTTAAACCTTGTTTGCTAGTTGTAATTGATACGATTCAGATCTATAGTATCTAATGTGGTACAGCACTCTATTGTAAGCGTATCGTTACGACGCAACGCTTACGAGACCTGCAGTGTTCCACACACGCATCGTCACGTACTCGTATCGTTTTGTAAGATCTCAGTTGAAATCATGGCGTCAACGGTACCATGTGTTTCTAGTGTATCCATTGATGATCTTACATTTTATTCAGACGAAGAGAATTTTTTATTGTTTGATTATGTTAGAAGTAGAAAGCAATGTGATCATTGGATCCATCGAAACATCGCAAGTAATAAGAAGAAAAGACTTTTGAAGTTTACGCTTGCTTCTAGGCCTGCCTTATGCCAGACCGCTATAGTCCGTACCATGAATGTTGGCGTACACGTCATCATTTGTACATTTCCGAGCAAATAGTTTTGAAGTAGGCACTTTCTACCATAGGCGAATATCCATAGGCGTGCCCCCGGGAAGAGATTTTTAGTAGTAAAAATGTACTGTGTCAGGCGGCAAAAAGTATTTTCTGTATATTTCGAAAATATTTGCTGCACAAAACGGCAAGTCTTGATTTATTGTTATTTGAATGCGCGATTTAAGAAACATATTTCAATTTTGCAGGAAATGAAGAAAAACAGAATATTTTCTGAAAAAGCATAACATTGAGAAAAATATTGAAATTTCAGTTTTAAGTTCTAAAATTGAACATACTCGAACATATAAGGTAATTAATAGATTTTTTTATTTGTACTGGTAGATAGCGTATATGAACACAAAGTTACGATGAATTACCAGGCTCTATCACACAACAATTCCTTCAAGCTTTCATGGGTAGATTTGACCGAAATAAATATCGCTGTCTTAAAAATCTTCATCTGAACTGCTGTCGTCTCCATTGATTGTAATAATCACTTCTGGCACATTATCCAGGATTCGTTGTCTGTTATACCATGCATCTATAACTCCCTCCGTGTGTGTGACAACAGAGGCCCATCTTTCAGGAGTACAGTTTTCCAATGCCTTCTGCCACATGCCTAGCACTGTGTCAGCGCCATAACCTTCCTCGCCTATATGGGTATCATAATATTGTTTTGCCTGTGCCCATATCAGTTCGATGGCATTGAACTGGCAGTGGTATGGCGGTAGTCGCAGTACCTCATGCCCATGTCCTCGTAGGTATTCATCAACAACAAATCTTGCAGGCCGAGCATGTTGCTTGGCCAATTTTAAGAGTTCACTTTTAAATTGGTTCCTCTCAAAATTAATGTTGTTTCCCTCCAACCACTGTATGACCTGGGCTTTTGTCCAAGATGATATTGGCTGCTTCTCTACTAATACACTGTGGTACGATGCATTATCCATAACAATGAGGCATGGCTCCTCCAAATTTGGAACCAGCTTCTCTTTGACCCACTTCAAAAATATATCGCCATTCATGTCTCCATGATAATCTGCCAGTTTTGAGGCAGTGCCATAGATGAGTGAAGCATTCTCCACGAACCTCCCACTGTGAACAGCATGTAATACGATATAGCGTTTGCCTTCAAATCCCCCAGGTTTTCGGGTCCCTTTTACGGATCCGTCCTGCCAGGATCTCTTCCTGTTCCCTTTTGCAAAAATCCATGTCTCATCTAAGAAAACAACTGTGCGTTTAAAGGGGGAGTTTCCATTTTCATTATATTTGCGCAGAAATTCTGCTCTCAAAGCAACGACACTGCTTTTCTCCATAAGCGCCTTCCGGTTGTCTTCCTGTTTATATTGGAAGCCAATAAGCGGCAATAAGCGGCACAATGACATCTTGCTTATGTTGTTTGACGTCCAATTCTTCCTTTAATGTTTTGATAGTAACATGCCTCTCTGTAAGTATTAATACATAAATAAATCGTATTAATGGAGACAAAAATACGTACTTTCTGAGTACATGTTGTAAATTGCATTTTTCACTTCCATCTTCACAGCGTCTGGTAAGTCTGCTGTTTTTGTTTTTTCCCGGGGCTTATATTTTTTTGTTTTGGAGGCAGCTTGATCTTCCTGGTCTACGGGCTTTCGGTTTTCTTTGATTCTCTGAAAATACGTGACACCGCCCATTGCGTGGGAAACACGCTGAAAATTTAATTTATTTATTTTATGATTTATTAGACTTCGTATAATGTCACATGTATTAGTGATAGGCATGTGAATAAACTTTTAGGTTCTGTCGATGGTGAAAAAACCCTACAACTTTTTTTTCAACGTTCGAGAGTTCGAGACGTTCGAGAGTTAAGCTTCGAGAAACCAGAGTTATTCATTGTCTGTCTTGATAGTTTTCTCTCCATTTGAAAATGTAATATAAGATATAAAAATTAAAGTATAATATAATTTTTTAATACATGTGTAACATAACAAGAAAAACATGACGCAAGGAGAAAAAACAACGTGAAACTTTTTTCAATAATACATATAACCATACATATAAATATTACCTCCTGAATTGCGTCCACAGGTAATAAGGGCCCATTATTACGTTTTTCGCGATCAAAATACGTAGCTTCACCACCATGTCCCTGGCTACTCCATCAAGTCTTTTGCCGGGCATTTTTTTTTTCACTTTATTTACACTAATTGTAAAGAGCAACAAACCGGAAAACGGTACAAAAATCAACCGCGCAGGTCTGAACCTTTGCTATACAAACCGTACGCTCATGATCGTCGCTGTCACCGTGACTTACGATATAGTGCGACCTACCTAATAATACCGTCTTTGTCTAACACATTACTGCGTAAGCGGCAACGCTCCCAACTTCTGTCGTAGCACCAGAAAACATATGTTATTGTTATCCAGTACGGTCGTGCTCACTCGTTAAAAGGACATGGCAGAAAATCTGCCAGTCGTGGATAAATGCATCAAGTGATGACGTGTATGCCAACATTCATGGTACGGACTTCACGACTATCGTAATACGACTGAACATATCATATGCTTCGCAGCAACACCGCTTCGTGTGCGGACTTGTTAGCACACATACAAGCTCGTTTTGCTCTCGTCTATTCGTCATTGTCCGTCAGAGCGGTCTGTCAGGTCTGGTTGCCCAGATACCAGACGAAGTCAGGAAGAAAGAAAAGAAGAACAAAGAAAGGAAGGAAGGGGGAAGAGCAAAGGGGGTGGAGTGCGCTGGTTAAGGAATGCCTTGCTATTGTTACCTGGTATTCGGTTATTTTAAATTAATCCAAACATTAATTTAGGAATTTGTGTATAGCAAAAATCGTAGTTTTGGTTGGATCTAGAATTGCACGATTTGATTTTGATCACAGTGCGTGTAGTCTACTGGCTCACGCAACAGAGTGTTGCTGTGCGATTCCGCTTGACTATAACGTAATTGTGCCTGATGCTGATGTAGTCCCTTAGGTAAGGGATTTCGAGTTCTCTGTGAAGGGTCTCGTTGGAGACATACCATGGTGCGTTAGTGATGGTTCGCAAGGTTCTGTTCTGCAAAATCTGCAGATTACGCATATGCGTTTTGGCAAGAAAACACCATGCTGCACATGCGTAAGTGATTGCTGGTCTGATAACCATCTTGTATAGCCGAACTTTATTAACCAAACTTAATTTTGAGGTTCTACAGTAAAGGGTAGAGTTGCCGAAACGTAATTTAGAATTTAGTTTTTAACGGAAGTGATTCTGCCAGGTCACCCCCCTGTCAAGAGTGATACCGAGATACTTAGCAGAATTTCCCCATGGTATGCGAGCTCCATTCACTAAAACCTCAGGCGAGGCGCCGCTACGTTTTTTAGTCAATAGATAGCCTGCGTTTTCGAGTAATTAATTTTGATTAGCCACCAATCTGCCCATTCCAATAGGTACCTCATCCACTGCACTTTGTAACCAGTCGTGAACTGCGTATTACGATACGATTACGATACGTCGTAGTGTGCGAAGGCTCTAAGAGTTGGGCTTCTAAGTAAAGGTTATCGATTGGACACGTAATCTTATAAAGGATCAGTGTTAGTATCCACTTCTGTGTGATTTCAATATTTCTATACAATCAGTCTTGAGTCCTCCGCATGGATAATATACCATATGACAGAATAGGGTAGACAAGAGCGTGGTAGAGAATATACAGAGTGTTCATTTGAAAGCGTCCCACCACGGATTTGTCGAAAACCACTGATTAGAAGAAAAAACGCCGAGACACGTCAAAAGATTTGTCAAGGGGGACAACTTTGTAATCAAAAACTACTTCACCCCCTTTCACCCGCTGCCCCCCAGGGTCATCCCCTTAAAAGTTTTGAATGACAAGGGGGATCGAGTAATAGCTTAATTGAAAGGTTTTTAAAATTCCTTCATTAAGACGTTTGATTTTTCAAAATCGGTCGATTCGTTTCCAAGAACAAATTAGAAAAATCTTTATTTATCTTAATTTATTCAGATAGAAAACAAAAACACATCAAAACATCACTTTTTATTTCAATAGGTTAGGGTTTTGCCAAATCTACAATTCGTTTATAATTTAAAAATGAAACTACCAACATAATATAGTAGTAGTATAGGTAATCTTTGTTCGTTCTTTGTTCCGCCACAAGTTTTTGTCTAGTATTAAGACTAAGAATTTAATTTTGTCATACTCGTTCACCGGCTTTGTCAGTTCATGCAGCGCCAGTATTGGCGTGCGATGTGTTTTGGTGCTCTTCCTTTTTGGGTTCCACGGTGTAGTGGAAGAAGTGCCATATTATGGAGCACAGGGAAGCATAATTCTCAGTATTTCAAGCTTACTTGTGATGGGGCTGCCTCATAATTGCCTCAGGAATGAATTGATCAAGAAGGCATCCGAATGATCCTAGCGCAGCCTATGAGACAGCAGCAGAACCAAAAATTGGTGTCTTTTGAAAATGGATTTCAAATTAATTGTTTCTTCTGCAATGGTCTCATAGATGTCGCTAGCATCTTCCAGATGCCTTTTGGGTAAATGGCTATATTCTGAAAGAGAGTTTGACCTGAACAGTGAATGTGTGATTTTCTAGAATCATCAGGAGATCAAAAAGTGGGAAAAGCCCAAAACGCTGATGAGAAGATGATTCCATACCCAGAAATATATTCACAGCATACTAAACCACGAGGGCCTCAAACTGCTTCAACCAATACAACTATACTGTCTAAGAGGTACCTACTAGGTTTTCAAAGCATGTGTGTGTACTAGTATACTATAGACTTCAGAAGTTGCTTTGCCCCAGGTTTTGCTTATACCGTTTCTATTTTTAGGCCACTTCAGTGTCCGAAAGCAGATTGCAACAAGTTCATATCTGTCTTCACTTTAGAGTCACATTTTAGATATGAACATAAGGAAGTACCCGTCTTCTTGACTCAGGTAGATGCCAGAAGTACGTTGGAATTTTTTCCGAAAAATCTAAGGTACTTACGATTGAGTATTCTACCTCGTCTGTCTTTTGATGTGAAGGTTTGAAAAAAATGTGCTTAAAGGAACATTTGGGAAGGGCGTTGCTGACTGATGGGTCGATTCTTTCCTATAACCCTGCCACCTCAACCCTGTTGGGGAAAACAATCAGAAAGATTTGAGCCTATTTTATAAAATCGACGCTACACAGGGTGTCTGGAAATTTAGAGATAATCATGAAACTGGAAATAGGTCACATCATGACATACTGTTTCGCAATTTTTATTTAATCCTTCGAGTAATTTAGCAATCAATTTTTTCTGACAAAAGTCGACACTGGTTAAATTTTTGCTATTTCTACAAATATAATTTTTTCGAGCCGGATTTGTTTCAAAATATCACAGGATCAGAATCTAAACAGAAGTGGTTATACATATATAAAACAGTTTCGTGGCGAAATCTGATTGGCCACCAAGGAAATCTTACACAGATGTGTTAGGTGGAAGAGCGCGGATTGACAACTAATGGTTGTCAATCAAGCGAACCTTGCCGTTTGCTAACTGCATCAGATTTATGTACTTTTCCTTTTTCTTTACTTACATGAGCAATAAAAGCAATTTACTATTATTATTATTATTATTAAAGTACTCACGCAAACTACGGGATTCCTTTATTATTAAGAAATGGAGGGCACACATAATGGCTAATGGTTGTCAATCTGAATACCTGCTCTACTAAGTATAATAAAAAAATATTATCATAAGGTCAATCCTGCAATAACTTCTTATTCGCGCCTTAAATACAGCTATTTGATCGTTCAGAAACTAGTTGACAGTCTGATGACAAATTTAAAGTCTAACATGAAACCGAGGATAACCTCCATGCATGAGAACGAGAGTGGACGCTTTCATCAGTTGCTGTGATTAGTTGTGTTCATCAGTTTCGCGAAACTCCCCTGCTCCCCTTTTCTACTTGTAGATTGAAAAACTTGTCATAATCAAAAAAGTAGTACGACATACTACTAAACGAGTGGGAGAAACATTATTGTGTATATGCTGTAAAATGCAAAGAACATAAAAACAGAAAAGCCGAATAAGCTGCGTTGGATAAAATCAGTATGACTTTAGAACCAATTAGGCCTATAAGCCAGTGGATCCTCCACTAGAAGCATATGGAACACATCCATCCGCCGATCCTTCTCTCTGATACATTTTTGACACAAAATACAATTTTCTATTCGTTTTAAGTGATAAAGGAGTAAAGTAACAAGCCGCAGAGTAAAGTGTGGTTGAAGTAACGTTGACGTGATAAATGGCAGTTAGAAGTTGACAGTGTTATATACTAAGTGACATATAAATCCGAACATCCAGTTTAAGTGGTTTTATTTTAATAAAATTTTGTATAAGTACTTAATGAAGCATAATAAGTAAATGATAAAAATTTCAAAATGATTGCACTGCTTTAAAGCCCTTTGACTTTTAATAATGTGTGGATGCACCCTGATGTGCTACGCATTCTCCAACGCGCCTAGGCATGCTTCTGATCAGGTGGTCAATGTGCTCCTGTGGTATCTCATTCCAGGCAACCACCAACTCCTCTCGAAGTGCTTCTAGAGTCTGAGGAGGACGTTGCAAATTGAGCAATCTCCTACCCATCATATCCCACACGTGCTCAATTGGGGATAAGTCGGGAGATCTTGGTGGCCATGGTAACAATGTGACATCATTATGTTGAAAGAAGTCTATTGTGACTCTTGCAACATGTGGTCGGGCATTATCTTGTTGGAAAGTTGGATCTACCAGGGTGTCAAGATAGGGTAAAAGATGGGGTTCTAGAACTTCGTGGATATAACGCTGCACGTTCATGTTACCTCTGATGAAGATTAAAGGTGACCGGGAACCATAAGCTATAGCACCCCAAACCATAACTCCAACAGTGTGATGAACATGTCTTTCAACAAAAAACTGTGGATTCCTCCTTTCACCACGTCGCCTTCTAACCCTGGCACGACCATCGTGCATGCCTAAACAAAATCGAGACTCGTCACTAAAGACAATACTGTTCCATTCCTGATCCCAGAGTGACCGTTGTCTGCACCACTCAAGGCGATTACGTCAGTGTTCTCGAGTTAAAGGGAGGACCCAGTGTGGCCGGTATGAAAACAAGCCAAAACTTCTCATTCGTCGGTAAACACTTCGCATGCCAATAGGTCTTCCGTGTTCTGCAAACCATTCATTTGCAATGGACCTGGTAGTGGAGAAACGGTCCCTTAAGGCCGATAATCTTAGGCGGTGATCTTCACGGTCTGTTGTTCTACGGCGGCGTCCAGTGCCCCTTGCTCTTTGCGTACGACCTTCTCGAAGCCATGCCTGACAACACCTAACCACAGTGTCTACACTTCTTTGCACTCTAACTGCAATTGCCCGAAAAGAAAGTCCAGCTTCCCGAAGTCCCACTATACGGCCCCTATCAAACTCACTAAGTTGACGAAATCGTACAGGTCTCCGTACTCTAGGCATCGTAACCGATCGTAAACGAGGTCAAGAACCAAAATCCGCCAACATTGATTCTTTACTGCGGCTGAAATATTCATTTTTAGAGCGTTAGTGAATTAAACAAAAGCAGTATAAAAACCGGAATGTCCAACTGATAAGGCTAAAAATTTTTTCACTTGTTATTTACAGTAAGATAAATACATTCACCAACTTTTATTAAAATAAAACCATTTAAACTGGGTGTTCGGATTTATATGTCACTTAGTATAGTTTCTTTTCAAAAATTTCTTTACGTGCCAGACAGGATTGAAATTGGTAGAAAAATTGGGAACTAAATTCAGTAACGCATTTTTCAACAAAGTTTGGTACCAAATTATGAACAAAATGCTGTATCGTGACAGACGGACTTTAGAGTGATTCGCACAATTATGAATATTTTGAAAAAGCCTGGCTGAAAAAATGGATGTTTATAGAAATGGTAACTATTTAATTAGAAGAGTGTCGATGTGACCATGAAACGTTTGACTAAAGAAAAGTTTGTCAAGCAATAGGTGATTATCCTTCAATTCCCGGACACCTTGCATAGGAACCTAATGCAAAAATCTTCAAAACTTTCATAACAATAGTAAATTTGTCGCTGATTATTCACAATGAAAAAATGCCATTGATTTAGGTTTATTCCAAACTCTTTTTCAGATACGGTGTTAGGAACTGCATCGTACTTGTACGAGTGATAGACTACGATTTTTCGAACATAATGCAGCAAAGTAGGTGAGAAAAAGCAGCACCTCCGGTGCTAATTATTGGTTATTGTTTGATTTTTCACATTGTTTCAATAGGAACGTATATAGATAGGAGCTAGATAAACGGTCTATTGTTTTCGGCAAGTTTGGCATTCTCATAACACATGGTACTGAAAAAATTTGTAGATCTTATCATTGAATGAAATTCGGGTTGTGAACAAGAAGGAGAGAGAATCTAAGAGTGTTATTCAAAGAAATTAAAAGCAAATCAGTATTGCTTTACCCATTTTAACGTATAAGCACAAAAAAGCTTAGAAATATATTTTTTCAGGCTTCATGTGAGGACTGAAAAAAAAATAGGAAAAAGAGGGCATCATTCAGTTGAAAAAATATCCATGACAGAAGCTTTCTTTGTATTGCTCATTATCAACTGTTTAGTTTCAAAACTACTTTCCCTGTATATCTAACGCCATAAGCTTATTCCGACAAATAAGATACGAGTATTCCAAGTTATCTTTATTCGTAAACACCGCTCTCGAAATATTTGCTTGTAACAAACCCTCTGAAAACACAAGCTATTTTTCCTCTAGATTTTATTATACATAGATATTTTACTCTGTTTTCGAACAAGTTCGAGTATTGTGTTCAGCTTGTAAACTTAGATAACTTTCTATACAATTTGCTGTATATTATGTTGTATGCTTCTGGATTCTATAGTTTCGCTTGAGCTTTATTTATGTAGTTATCTAGTTTGTTGATAAATAGGCATATCCACAAGTGTTAAGGGGCCTACAGACACACGAACATGTATTAAGACATGAACGCACGTCGACGTTTGCGCGTTGATGTTCGCCAGTGTGTAGACAAATCTCTAGTTAAAAGACCGACGCACATGCTTTCTGTTTTCGCTTGAATTTATGCCTGCACAGACTTGTACGCGCGTGTATGTATGCCTGTGTGTAGACAAAACGTACTAATTTTCACAGACTTAATTCAGTGGCGTGACTGCATTCGTGTATTCTGTTGTTAGGAGCAGGGGGGTCAACTTAGAAGTTCATTTAGTTTTGAATTTGTCAATATGGCAGATTTGAGAAGTTTTTCCAAAGAGTTTATAACAGAGTTCATAGAACTATACAAATCCTATCCATGTTTGTGGCGAGTAAAATCAAAAGACTATATGGATCGCAATAAAAAAAACGAAGCATATAAAGTGTTGGTGCTGAAGCTCCAAGAAGTTGAGAAAAATGACAACAAAGAAATGGTTAAAACTAAAATTAATAGCCTCCGAGCTAGTTTTCGGAGAGCACTAAGAAAAATTAAAGAGTCGAGAAGATCGGGTGCTGCAGCAGATGATGTTTATATACCACATTTATGGTATTATGATCTACTTTTATTTATAAAGGATCAGGAAATCCCTAGACAATCCATTAGTAATATTGAAGATGTTGGAAGCGACAGTGAAATGGACAGTTGCCATTCAGAAATGGAAAATGAAGACGCTCTAGAACTGGAGGTAAGGCCTGATTTATTTATTTGACTTTTACTTCCCACGCCAACTGGAGAGGAAAAGAGGAAGTATTGTAATAATAATAATAATAATAATAATAATAAATTGCTTTTATTGCTCATGTAAGTACAGAAAAAGAAAAAGTACATAAATCTGATGCAGTGAGCAAACGGCAAGGTTCGCTTGATTGACAACCATTAGCTGTCAATCCGCGCTCTTCCACCTAACCAAATCGCGAATAATTTCGAAAATGAGGTATTATATTTTATGGATGGTATATAATATATAACACATATACGTTATATAAAAAACATGGATATGCTTGAACCGATAAAATCAATGCGTGGGAAGTGCGGAGTCAACCTACTTGATGCCATTTTTTGATTTCATGTAAGAAATAATGAAGTAGTACACATATTAATATAGAGGGTAATAAAAAATCGTCTTGATATTTTGATTCGCTTTACTTCAACTTAAGTACTTAGAAGGTATAATACATAAATTAGCAAATCATTCTTTCCTGCCAAGCTACGGATCCCTCATTATTAAAGTAGTTCAGAAATAACTGTCTAACTTCTTGTGCATCCTTGTTTGCTCTTCTATTGTTACCCCGTTGCAAACTAGTCATCTGATTGGGTTGCAAGCCTAATTCAACAGTGCCATCTTCATGGTTCTCCCTGTATAAGTTGTTATCAGGTGCATACACAGTGGCAGTTCTTCTTCTCAGAAAATTATGCAGAACACAACATGCCATCACTACTTTGTCAATTGCTTTTAAGTTAATAGATATAGCTGTGTGGAATATTCTAAATCGAGCAGGGAGTATACCGAAAGCATTCTCTACTCTACATCCTTGCCCTTGAGAGACGATAATTGAAAATTTTCTTATCATGATCCCAGTCTCTCTGGCTAAATGGTTTCAAGAAATCACAGCGGAGTGCAAACGCTTCATCACTTATAAAAACAAATGGCAATGCTTCTTTACTGTTCATTGTTCTTGTTGGAGGTGGTATGGAGAGTTTCCTATCTTTAAGCTTCCGGTAAAACTGGCTGTACTCAATAACTCCTCCATCAGATATGCGGCTGTTGATCCCGAAATCACACATAATGAACTCGTAATTTGCGTTGACCACTGCCAAGAGCACTAGGCTGTATGCCCCTTTATAGTTATAAAAATATGAACCACTTCCGGTGGGCGGTTTTATATTGACATGTTTTCCATCTACCGCCCCCAGGCAGTTCGGACAGTTGCATCTCTTTTCGAAGTCGTCTGCAATATTTCTCCATTCATTCTCGGTCGTTGGGAACTGAAAAAAATCAAAAATATATATTTTTTTGCATAAAACTAGATATGAGGTAAATGAAAGTCAAGAGAGTGAGCTGAGCTCAGTACCAAGTCCACCAATATCCAGACCTTGTAGTAGTCAAAATGTACGTCCAATTTCCAATCCAGAAAACATTGTACCGCTGCCTGCAGCTGGAAATCGGGGAAAAAATAAACGCAAGACAAACTCTGATAACCAAGAAGCAGACGTGTTGGCGGCGGTAGGAGAAAGACTACGTTCCAAGAATGACGATCAATTCGCCATTTTTGGGAAAAATGTCTCAGCAAAATTGAAAGGACTCCCAAAAGAAACCAGATTATACACTGAGAAACTCATAAATGATCTGCTGTTTGAGGCTGAAATGGGTAACGTGTCCAGAAATACTAGGATTGTTTCGTCAGGAGACAATGAACAGAATCAAAACAATTTTTCCAGTAATAGCGTTGTTGATGCTTGCTACCCTAATCAATATAACTACAATTCAACTCAACCTATAAATATATCAGGCACACAAAATCAAGCTCAAACTTATTTGCTACCAGCTATGCCACTTAAGCCCCAGTGCCATCAAAGCCATCCTCAACAAATCAACGAGGGTAGCTCCACAGTTTCAACTTATTTTGGATCGTATAATCCTCTAAGTGAAGCTAACATTTATGGTCCAGTTTATATTTACATATAAGAGTTCCGTTAGATTAGCGTTGTATATATAAAAATAGAATACTTGAGAGTTTGTGTTTGTGTTTATTTTGTTTATTTTACTACTAAGTAATATACTCTGTACCCACCTTCATATAGTCTTTCTTCAGTACTTCATAAATAGCGCTGCATGTCTCTGGAATTATGTTGCACAATGACTGTGGAGAAATCAGGGTAGAAAATTTTAAATCTTCATAATTCCTCCCAGTGGCCAAATACCTCAATGTGGCCGACAGTCTTTCATGTACCGATATAGCGGGTCTCATCGGTGTGTTCTGTTTTTCAATAAGTGGCGAAACCCTCTCTAGGAGTTTTATATAACTATCTTCATCCATCCGGAGGTAGTTTCGCCAATCATCAGGTTCTAATCGTAGCTCTTCAAGTAAATTGATGTGAGAATATGGATCCCGCTTCAAAAGCCAATCTTTAACCCATTTTCTTCGTGGCTGACGTCTCTTTTTCAATTGATGTTTTCTTTTTTTCACAATACAAACGCACGCCACTGCTAGTAAGTTTAACTCATCATCGCTAGACATGGCGACAAACTACAACATCGACGTGGAGAAGACTGACACACAAGTCTCTATGTGTGGAGCTAAAAGAAGATCGACGGGTATCACTGCGCAAACATCGCCGTGCGTTCATGTCTTAATACATGTTCGTGTGTCTGTAGGCCCCTTTAGTGAGAAACATGCACAACTACTAAAAAAATGGATAGTTTTGGTTCAGAGACAGAGTGTAAAATAGTAAATAAAGAATGTTGAGGGGACCTTCGAGGTCTAACATGACAGAAGCACACGGGTGGCTCGATTTTCGGTTGATTTATCTTAGAACACACCCCTATAAGGTATAGATTTCAGACCTCTTGTACAGGAAGTTTGGAAACTACAGAGCATGCTACCTTGACATATGTACATATTTATGACATATATGATCCAAAGTTTTGCTAAGTTCATCAAGAATTTAATATGGAACTCATATCTTTGATAGATCTGCACCATTAGCTTTGCGGCAAGGCAACAGCTATTAGAAAACTAAACCAAACCCCCTAAAATTGAAAAAAATATCTACGTCTCGCGCCATTGCAATTAACAAAACCATACGTGATATTGCATATGCCAGAAATAATGTTTTCTCATTGATCGTTAATATACCTAGTGACAGAGAATCTGGAATCCCCCTTAAAAAAGGTTTCGTTTAAAATTTAATATTTATATAAAGTCACGATCAAGAGGAAGTAGTGGGTAAGTTTTAGAATGAAAATATTTTCTGTATTGCTGTATTTTCCTAATAATCTGCAGTTCCACCCCATTGTCCAGTTATCTGCACGGGTATCATGTGAAAAACCTATAAAACGCCAAAAAAAACCTATAAGATGTCATTTTGCAAACTAGGTAGTTTTTAGGGCGCAAACAGTCATTCCACGTTTGCTCACTAGGATCGTTGTGAACGTCCATCTATGGAGGTATCACTCAACCAAACTACGTGCATGATTGGTTGCATATGTTTTGTGAGGCAGAGTGGTCTTTGTCTGTAGTTTTTATCTCTGAGAAGAAAGTTGGTTGACTGGGAAGATCGCATCTGGATGATTATGTCTATTGGTCTGCATGTGTATAAAATCCGTGATATTTGCTGTGTGAGAAAATCATTGCTGAATATGCTGCCAATGAAGTATATATATATTGGCTGTGCCGGACGGGTTATTTTTATGTTGTGCTGTCTGAAGAGAGGTTATGTTCAAAGTTATAAATTGCGAAAAACTGAGGAGAATTACGGGAAATCATCACGGCGCTCGCGTTGTGTGTAATTACTGTTAGCATGTATATGGCTTGTAATTCGATAATGTACTGTGAATATAATTATTTCTTATCTCTCTCATTTTTTAAATTCAGCATATTTGTATATGGTATTTCCAGAATGGATAAGAAAAAGTGGCTGCGCAACTAATTTCTAGCTTTGAATCTCAATTAAGTGTATTTGAGACAAGAGCGCAATGTAATTATCATTAACACATACAACGTACAGCTTAGACCTCCAGTAATGCCATCTCAGAAGCAGATTTTACATCACATTAGATCCAAAGATTGATAACAGGCCTCATGACGTTTAGGCAGTACGTACAACAAGTGCTAAGTTAACATCTTGTAGAAAAACCAACATAATGACAAATAAAACAGTATAATGTCAAAGAAAATCGATATAACGTCACTTTTCAAGATACATGATACCCGTGTGGAGCATGCTTCTGATGAGGTGATTTATGTCTTCTTGAGGTATCTTATCCCAAGCTGGCTGTGCTGGATTCCGCAAAGCTGTTAGCGTTTCTGGAGGATGAGGTAAAGATGTCACATTTCTTTTCATGATATCCCACACGTGTTCCAAGGCCAAGGATGAAGACTGACTTGAACGTTATTGGGGTAGCCTATTATAGCTCTGCTAATTAATAACATTATCTTGCTATAGAATGGAGTCTTCAAGCATTTAAAGACATGGCATTGATTATAAAAATTCTAGTCTAGTGCTAGATACGAGTGTCATTTTTAAGTGTGAACCGTTTTTCGGTCTGACAAACTTTATTTATGAATGTAAATTGAATCACAATCTAAAATATGAGCATTGTTTCATTAATCAAAAATTCAAACATCTGTGAAGTCGTGGTGCCAGCTCTAGGTCCACGTCGCCCAAGGACGGTGCCTCCTCACCGTTAAACCAGTTAGCAAGTGTTTCTTTCAACATATCATCCAAACGCTTTTCACCAAGATATTTTTTTAGATTAGGAAAAAGACGAAAGCATGATGGTGCTAAGTCAGGACCATATGGTGGATGATCCAGTAATTCCCAACGAAACTTGTCCAGATGCGTCTATGTTCTTGCTGCAGCGTGAAGCCGAGCGTTATCGTGAAGCAAAAAGACGTCGCTCAGCCGGCGGTTTTAAATTGCGCGACTAATTCGTATATCTGCTGGTGAATTTCAGCAGGAGGAACTTTTTTGCATTAAAAGTGAATTAGTTAGCGCAGTTTACAATCGTTGGGATTACTGATTGACATGGGAATGAACAACACAACCAATACCAACAGAGACGTGAAACGTAATGGCGGCATAGTGAGAGACTAGTGTCTGAGGTTGAACCGACGTCACGAGATAGGATACGCAAGTATCATGTGCAACCGGTTCTTATTTTAAAAATGGCCCTCGTGGCTATGAGTACTGTAGATCGTATCTCAAGGTAGTTTATTATGCCAACATTACCAAGGACCCTTTTTTATCAGCCGTTACAGACAACCAGCGACCCCTCGATCCCTGAACCATCCACTTCCTCAGCCAACTGACACAGGTCCAATGATGGTTTTGATGGCCGCGCGTTTGGCCAGCTGTCACCTGAGCATAGTACAGTCCAGCGATACTTCTGATTCCACCTACACAGAATCCAACTGCACGCAAGTCAATGCAGAAGAAGAACCTTGCACTGCTCAGCAAGATTCAGAATACGATGCTGGACCACTGTGCCCTAATGACAAAGTAAGTAATCACATCAAGTAGGTTGACTTCTCAACTGTCTATACGAGTCTAGCTTTATAACGCCCCTATTTTTTTGATGCCATAAAGACTCAGTTTCGATCAATGAGTATGACAGACGGCCGGTAACCAGGATCTTCCCGATCGACATGCCAACGGACGTTGCTCCTCCGAGCGCTCATCGATGATGCCAGTGCGTACTGGCATCAAGTGGGCTACGTCAGCTAGATGCTTCCTAATCCATAGTGCATAGGCAGTTGTTAAATTGACTGAAGAGAATATCTTTAACTAGGGCTCGTCCATTGATTATCTCACGCGGGGGGAGAGGAGGGCTAACTATCACGTCATTTTTTCCGCAAACTGGGAAAAGTGATTTTCGGAAAACACTTTTTGATTAAAATACGGCAAAATCTGACACCATAATATTTATCGTGGTAATCTGAAGTAGGTTAGGTTAGGTAAGGTTTCTTGTGAGTGCATCAATAATGATCCTCCACTGCGACTCTTTGGTCTTTTGTGACTCACACCTAGACTAAGTGACATATAAATCCGAACACCCAGTTTAAATGGTTTTATTTTAATAAAATTTTGTATAAGTACTACTTAATGAGGCATAATAAGTAAATGATAAAAATGATTGCACTGCTTTAAAGCCCTTTGACCTTTAATAATGTGTAGATGCACCCTGATGTGCTACGCATTCTCCAACGCGCCTAGGCATACCTCTGATCAGGTGGTCAATGTCCTCCTGTGGTATCTCATTCCAGGCAACCACCAACTCCTCTCGAAGTGCTTCTAGAGTCTGAGGGGGACGTTGCAAATTGAGCAATCTCCTACCCATCATATCCCATACGTGCTCAATTGGGGATAAGTCGGGAGATCTTGGTGGCCATGGTAACAATGTGACATCATTATGTTGAAAGAAGTCAACTGTGACTCTTGCAACATGTGGTCGGGCATTATCTTGTTGGAAAGTTGGATCTGCCAGGGTGTCAAGATAGGGTAAAAGATGGGGTTCTAGAACTTCTTGGATGTATCGCTGCGCGTTCATGTTACCTCTGATGAAGATTAAAGGTGACCTGGAACCATAAGCTATAGCACCCCAATCCATAACTCCAACAGTGTGATGAACATGTCTTTCAACAAAAAACTGTGGATTCATCCTTTCACCACGTCGCCTTCTAACCCTGGCACGACCATCGTGCATGCCTAAACAAAATCGAGACTCGTCACTAAAGACAATACTGTTCCATTCCTGATCCCAGAGTGACCGTTGTCTGCACCACTCAAGGCGATTACGTCGGTGTTCTCGAGTTAAAGGGAGGACCCAGTGTGGCCGGTATGAAAACAAGCCAAAACTTCTCATTCGTCGGTAAACACTTCGCATGCCAATAGGTCTTCCGTGTTCTGCAAACCATCCATTTGCAATGGACCTAGTAGTGGAGAAACGGTCCCTTAAGGCCAATAATCTTAGGCGGCGATCTTCACGGTCTGTTGTTCTACGGCGGCGTCCAGTGCCCCTTGCTCTTTGCGTACGGCATTCTCGAAGCCATGCCTGACAACACCTAACCACAGTGTCTACACTTCTTTACACTCTAACTGCAATTGCCCGAAAAGAAAGTCCAGCTTCCCGAAGACCCACTATACGGCCCCTATCAAACTCACTAAGTTGACGAAATCGTACAGGTCTCCGTACTCCCGGCATCGTAACCGATCGTAAAGGATGTCAAGAACCAAAATCCGCCAACGTTGATTCTTTACTGCGGCTGAATTATTCATTTTTAGAGCTTTAGTGAATTAAAAAAAAGCAGTATAAAAACCGGAATGTCCAACTGATAAGGTTGAAAATTTTTTCACTTGTTATTTACAGTAAGATAAATACATTCACCAACTTTTATTAAAATAAAACCATTTAAACTGGGTGTTCGGATTTATATGTAACTTAGTATATTTATATTTCCCCCAGTAGCTCCGACCTCCTGAGGAAGTCGATCAACTTGTTTGGAGAAATATGGTCTTCTGCTTGGAGTACTACGTCTCCAAGTATGTTGTACCTGATTCTGATTGCAGGGCATCTGGACAATACATGCCTGATCGTTTCATCTCCCTCCATACACAGTATGCACATGCCCAGCCTGCTCATATGGAGACGCAATTTGCAACGACCAGTGTACAGTCCTACTAGAGCTTTGAGGCTATTCCTGTTCAGGCGTAGCAAAGGGTCTGTTACCTTCTTTGTCAATATTGCTATAGTTGCCTTAGCATGTGTCAACCCTGCTAATCCCTCCCAGTATTGATGGATCTTTCTGTCCATCTCTGCAGAGAGTATTTGCTTAGCTTGTATGTGATTCCAATCGCAGACTTAGGCCCTATGAAGTGTGTGCTAACCCGATTCCTTGCCAGAGTGTCAGCTATCTCGTTTCCCTCTAGACCTGTGTGTCCTGGTATACATATGAGATGGACTTCATTTCCCTCCCCTATGCCACCGAGAGCTTATTTACAATTCCACACTAATTTCGATGTCGATGTCTGGCACCCAGTTCTATAGCATATAGCTCTGGTTGAAAGATCAATGCCCAAGATCCTAGGCTAGCAGATTTTTTACTCGTTTACTCGTTAGCTTCGGCATGAAGATACCAGCTCAAACACCTGCCTGGGTCTTGAAGCCATCTGTGTATGCACAGATATTTTTCCCTATCGGGTTAGCTTGCTGTTCCCACTCATTCCTGTGTGGAATTGTCACTGAGTAGGGTTTAGCATATCTTGTTATCTTTGGCATTATATCAGAAGGCATTCCCAGACTGTGGTGGTTTTGTAAGTCCTCCAGCATGTCCGTCTCCTCCATAGTGATATTGTCCATTATACCGTTTAGTAGCACAGTAACTTACTGTTCAATTTTAAACTATGAACTAAACATTCTTAACTAAAAAGTAATGAAGCAAACCGCGTTTTTTAACATTTAAACTAGATATAGAAATTTTGAAAAATTTCACGTGAAGCAAAACGCCTCGCGTAACTGAAATCAGTAGTGGTACCTAGACCCTAACTTCGTGACTGCTTCAGGGTAAGGAAAATAAAAAAAGCATGGAGCTTTTGAAATTTCTTCTGACCCATCTTTAAGAATAGAGAGTTCAGAAATGTTCAGAAAGCTTACCTAATTCATTAGGTGATAAAGAATGATTTACGCAAAATTAAAGCAAATACGTTTTTGTGAGATTTTCCAACATATTTGGTAAAACTGAACTGTTATGCCTTTCATAGAGGTTTGGCTTAGTGATGCCTACATTATAAAAGGAAATACCATGGATGAAAAGTTTTAAGAACACGCACAATTCTGCTATTCTTTCTGAACAACAACTTGCGCTAATATGGTTTTATAATCTAAACTTTGACTCAGTTTTACTGGGTTTTTATGCCGTTTTGAATATTTAACACTGAACTCCAAGCCATATGCTGTGATATAGCATTGTGAACAAATCTAAAATTTATTTTTTTTTGTATTTGGTGCTTCTAGAATGTTTAGAGATGTGCAAGTAAATACTTATTTTGTGTGAAACATAAAAAATATTTTTTTATAATAGTGGTCCTTAATGATCAATTAAGATGTGAAAACAGTTTTATAATGATTGGTTAAGCAATGCTTCATTTATTAAGCTTCTCCGTCGATGACATTTCACTTTACCGTTTTCAGACTGAAACATTGTGCTGAGTTTTTAGTATACGCAAATTTAATAGCAAAGGTGACCTTTAAACATAATTTTTTAAAACACATTTATCGTAGGTCTCTATATTTAGGAAAAAACGGTACGCCACCGAATTTTACAAGAAAATTATATCAATATCTTCATGTCAGATGAACCCTTCCTAAAATCTTCCTTTTTGAGTTTTTTGAAATATATATTGCTTCAATAACCAGTATTTCAATTTATCTTTATGAAAAAGTAATAATCGAGCTAACACTCCAAAACACTTAAGGAGAGTCAGTATGGCCTAGAGAGAACTGTATTTATTATGAATATTTTTTCATATTTTGCGCCTCTAAATTGTTCTGACAGCAGTCACGACACTGTATATTTTGTTCCTAGGTGGTTATTTGGCTAGCATCAAATATTCCCACAAACTTGAGTTATACAGTCGCCGCCTCTACCATGAACAACAGGATCAGACAGAAGTACTTTGGTCCCATGATGACTTTGAATGAAAGCCCCATTGATTTATGCAAAAAGGGAACATGTCTTATTCTGACGCACCTACATGTCAATAAGATGACCGATAATGGCGAGAAATATTTGGCGCTGGATGTCGTTGTACATAGTCCTGATCAATAAAAAATTATACAAATCTCGTGTTTCAATAGTTAATTGAATTGCTAGTCAATGCGTTTTTTAGCCTATAGATACTTGAAACGTTTGCCTGTCTTTTCGACAATCGAGAAAACGTTTTCAAAATTGGACCGTGTTTTGCATAACTTGACTAAGCGCCATTTGATAATTTTCCAGATTCTACTACCATCTGATGCACAGTAGTAAAACTTACCTATGAAAAATACAGGCAGTATAAAGGCCTGAAGTTCAAAAGCGAAAATATTTTTAACAAAGCGTCTAGCGTAATATTTGTTGTTATTTATTTTGCAACAGATAACCAAACGACCAGATTGTGTGTAGAGTAGTCATTTCTACTACCAAAGTTTTGTATAAAGTGACCAATATTGAGAAAAACCGTGGCGGACCATCGAATGCGTCGACTCAAGCATTGGTTGGTAAACCCCTCGAAAAACTGTGGCCAAATGGGAAACTTATGGCAGTAAAGAAGCTAGACGATTTAAAATCATTACTGAGTCTTATACACAATGAGTCCAAGAAGTTCTATAGGAATCTAGTTGGCGATTAAAGTATCGAGGAAGATGGTTTCAATGGTTAACCAGATTTCGAGCTTGAGGATAAATAATAAAAACTTTCGATTCAGGTTCTTGATTCATTTCGAAAATGTGTGGTTATTTGTTGCTTCATTTTATATTGAATCGGTATATAGCTAATTGAGAGTATCACAACATTTGTCATTCAAGCAATTTCTTATTTAGTTTCGAGAATGTTTTAATTTGTGTAGTTTTATTTTTTCAATGAATTTGATGCTAATTACTAAAATACAAAAATTAAGAATCTTTCTGTAATGCATTCCTTATTTTGCGTGGCAAGACCAAGTAACACTGTTGAGGTCATTAAGTCAAACCAAAAATGAGCATTCTTTTTAAAAGCAATACTTCACCAAGCGCCAGTTCATTTCATTAAGTTTCAGCTATAAGAGTTTTTGAAAAAATGATTGCATACATACATTTTTAATATCATTTTCTATTCACAGAACAAAAATCATTGAACACAATCGTAGCATTGATTTTTAATGAATTGTTAAAATTTATTCATCCTCCTAAAAAACAGATTTGTCGCTTGGCCAAGTCATGCAAACGCGGTCCAATGCATAGGTCAGATCCCATGAGCTACAAAATGTCATAATATTAGGGAATGGAAGTTCAACAGGCTATATACATGCAACGTTGGACATTAGAATAGGTGACCATTGTATTTGGACACTGGTCGCAGTTTTTCTGTGGATCCTTTTCAACCATAGTAAAAAAATGGACCACCTGAGCGATTTTCAGACACTACTACTTGAAGCCAATAATTTTTGGTACATACACTACAGGTTAAATCACCTTGTGTATACAATTTGACAATTGGCGATGTTTTTCACCTAAATAAATCTATGCACTCCATCTATTGTATAACAACAAAGAAGTTCCAGTAGAAGAATGTTTGACCATCTTCCCAAACATATCTATTGTACTTCTCAACTTATTGAAGTGCCCAAAGCTGTATGTAAGTCTGTCAGATTTACATTCGCTAACAATGTCATAACCATTTCATGGTCTCAGAGTGAAAATGCTGCAATACCATAAAACCCATCAAGGACCAAAAACACTAAATTTTTTATCGTTCACTCCATATGGTGCTAGATATGATACTCGATGATTTTCCGAGTGCATATATCGATCCACAAGCGGCACTTGCTGTACATATCCTAAGTTCCTCTTGTGGAAAATTTTTGTGTATTTCGAAAGTATTCTTGCACTCATGTGTGCATCTAAAACTATGTCGACGATGTGTCCAAAACGTTTGGTAAGTAACATTCCTATTCTTTTTCAATGCTATGTGTGGATAAGAAATTGTTGCCATTTTATTTACTTATGTGTAGCAATATTTAAACAATACCTAGCGTCTGCGTGTGGTTGTCTTTTTGTACTATTGCCGTTTATACAAATCTCTGCGTATTGGGAAACTTGAAAAAACAGTTGAAAGACAGTTAAGGTTTCAATACCACGTTACTTAAACTAGACGAATTTAGTAATTCGTCTGATACGAACTGAAATGGAATGTTAGAATTTTTTCTCGGGATTTTACTAAATATATTTGTACTTCCCATGGATGGAAACACGAAATAATTTTTGAAGTCGTGAGAAATTTCAACTACTGCTGTAATACGACTATTGTAAGTCACAATGGGAAAGGAAAATATAAGTTATTATAGGCATTTTAAAAAAATGTATATTCTGTAGTATTACAATTGATATGAAAATCTATATTCATGACTAACAATCATACTCATCTTATAAATATATTAAAAAGGGTACAGGTACTCTAACGATGTAAAATCAAAATAATTATACAATATAAATCAAATCTAATCTAAGCTGTAATACTGCGCACTATGATTAAATGTTATTAAGAAATTGTTTAGTACATAATATTCAAACTTTCATAAGTGCATCGGTGGTTAAGCATCTTGATTAGTAACACCATTGTAACGGCTTAAATAAGTATTTTTGTCAGAAAAGAAAATCATCATAAGAAATATTCAAAAATTGCGGCTCTTTTGCCGAAACGCTTTTTTTTCAAAACGACACACAGCATAACCCGAATAATTGTCATTATTTTCATTCAAATTCTTTACAATATCTCTAAAACAATATTTCGAAGGGGAAGTCAGGAGATTTGGATTATGATTTATTAACGAGTGATGACCTTTTTTCGTCTAAAAAATGGTTTTGTTTCAAATACTCGCCAAACATACACAAATCATTATGTTTGTTATCCCCTACGTATTTCGTTAACTATAAACATTGTGCATGTGTATGGTACAGGAAAAACAAACCATAATTGGTTTGTTTGTCCTTTTTCTCGATCCAAATTTGCTGCAGCCGCACTGCGCGCTTCAAATTCTATGTACCTCGCGCTGCTACCATTTTTGAATATTTTATTATGATCGTTTTCTGGTTACTTAACTATATTCTCAATAACGTTTGCCAATCTTACTATTATATTACCTTTTCTTCCACAAAAAAAATATGACAAAAAAAGCACTTACAGCGGTGTGACACCTTTTAATTTGAGAAACGGTAAAAGCCATGCAGTTTTCATAAATTTGTGAAAAAGTCATGTCTTTGCTTAAAAGGTAGGAAAGGTATGAGAAGAAATAACAAAAAAAGGCAAAGGAACAATGCAAAGCATTAAAAGTATGTGTATTGGAGGAAGTTTGTTCTGCAGAAGCAGTAGAAAAAAGCGAAAGGCATTTCTACACACGTTGAAATTTGTTCATCATGCAGCAAAGCAGAGAGATGAAGGAGAAAGGGATATTTTATGCGGTATTTTTATAAAGGGAATAAAAAGCAGAACTGTACCTTTATGCCATATAAGTTAAAGCTAAGTTCATCGATATCTCGGAACTCGCTCCAATACTTTCTATGCGGATCTTAACACTTTCTTATTCCCTATGAGACACTAGGACATTTTGGCAAATTTACAAATTCAACAATGATTGTCATTAAAATGTTTAATTAAGGCATTAAGACGTCTGTTAAATTACATACCTACAATTAAATTCCATATCACTTAATTTCACAAAAAGCTGTTGTGTATTCCAGGATATACTTAAATCAGTCCTAAGGTCCCATAATTCAAATGTTCCAAGAGACAATAAAAACTGGGTCAGTCACAAATAAACGTGATTTGAAGTAGTTTTTTGGGCTAATGTGGTATTTGTGTTCCAAAAGGATGAAATATCGAATCACCTCCACATTTTATTAATAATAGGGATCCAAAAAAAATATTATGGACTTAAGTAGTTTTAGCATTAAATATGGTTAGTGGTATGGTAAAAGAGTCACATTAGTCATACTTTTCATTGCTTGTTATTAAAAATCACATCTTAATATTGATTTATTAATGTGTCACAGGTTTTAATTTTGCATGTTTGATTATTTTTAGGTACACAAGGGAACCCGAACAAAGGGAATAAATACCTGAGAAAGTCTTATTTCCAACTTTATATCAAAGCCATGAACCAAAAGAACAGACTTATTCGATCATCCTTCTTTAATAATCGGCAATCGGTTGTAGAAGAACCCACGTGCTTATTTGACTACCAAGCATCAAAATGTATTTCTTCGGCATCTTTATACTATCTTTACAGACAGCTATTGGAAATATTTGGGGTATATTTTTAAAGGACCATCTTAGTCATACAGATGACAATGGTTTTGGGAGCATGAAAATAAAACGATACAGGGATACTGTTGTAAAAAATGGACTATAGTGATTTCTGCAGTGTCTGATTGAATCCGTCTCAACATTATATTCTATGGATTATTTAGACAAAGATTGTTTAGCTTCCAAATCTCTGAAGCTACAGATTTTTTACGTATATCTGGTTTTTATTTATCCCCTCATTGTTGTTTCCCCTACGCCAGTAATGTTGAAATCCTCATAGAAAGCCATGTGCTAACGTTCCGTTCTTATATCTTACCAGTCTGCTGGTTGATGATAGTCTCCATAACATCATCAAAAATAATATCCCGTATATAAGTAAAGTAATGCCCATGGTTTTGATCACAGTTGTACTGTCTTCGTATCAACTATTTAAAAACTATATGAATTCATATAGCAAATATCATACACGCGATTTCCGATGTATCGTCACTAGTATTCAAAGATGGTTAATGATGGTAATGGTGTGCAGGCAGCGCTAACTTGACGGGAGCTACAGGGTGCACAGCATGTCCCGTTCTGGTAACTATTGCATTGAACCCGCTATGTCCGTCGTCTTCGTACTGGACCTACAAAACAATTTATGGTATCAAATATACAGGATGTTGCCACAACATAGAATTGAAATTCTAGATGTTGTTCCTTGGTCTCCTCTAACTCATGTTTTTGACGATGTATGGAACACCGCTTTGTCAAAGATGCAGGATATGATAATAATGATACTCTGTAAGGAAAGGTCACGTGTGCAGCTTCAAAAACATGATAAATGAGTAGCAGCAAGAATCCAATCTGTTCCTCATACAGTACCAAATTATTTCTCATTACATCCAGCTGCTTTAGTATCGTTGCTCGTGAGTTTCAATAAAAGCAAATCCACATTTAAGATCATTGAATAGCTCGATGAGGAACCCAGGGTATGCTATATTTCCAAATGTGCACTGTTTTGGCTACCTTCTGAAGTTATTTGCCTTGCACTTGTTTCGATTGTCCAATTCTAGTATTACTCACTTTTCTTATCGTACCATCAGGTTCCACCAAAGAGTATTCTCCTTTAACCACATCTCCATCCCTGTGTTCACTCTGTTCTTTTATATCGCCAGTATGTCCATCTTTTACTCCATACTGGAAATGGTACTTGGGATATGCCTGCAATAAAATACAATTATATCTGTTTACCCTGTACCTATATGTTTTACATATATTCTGTCAGTTAGACAAAGCCTCTCATTTTCCAAGCTGCATCGGATTTTCATGATGATAGATGATATATTTTGAAAAGTGCTAAAGGTCTAACAGCTAAAGCATAGATTTTGTATTTGATAATAGAGGGGTGAGGAACAAAAAGTGACATTTAGTATCGGTAGTAGTACTCTTTTTTTTTTTGTTTTTGAATCGACTAAAAAGGTTGAATTCTGTCTTTGTCCGCCAAGATTTCGTTCAACGGGTGGCTTATTTGACTCATTTCATTCAACTTAAACAGATGCTTCCGGACCAAAAAGTTGCACAGTCAGAGTAATGATTGAAATTTCTAATCCAGAAGTGACAGTTTCTTATTAAATGCGACTGATATTATGGTCGGACCAAATCTGGTTTTTGTTTGTTTACAATGTGTATCGGTTTTTAAAAAACACTTTCATAACGTTTATATTGACAATCAAAACGATTAGATACTCAATTTGTATATCAACACTGTTTCTATGGTCTATCTTTTTAATTCACTGTCAAATTGATGTGAATGCTTCAGCCGTATCATTTTACTCTTTTAAGCATGATTTGTATGAATCCATATTTCTCATTTCCTTAATTCATTTTTGTTATATGGTAACATTTTTCAGACCGTGACTTTCAAATGGAGGCATTTTACGAGCATATCGAATCAAGTGGTGACATTTACAGATTATTGGATTAACGAATACGATTTGATATGTACTTTGTTTCATTTTGTCTAAATTTTAAACACCTACAAGATAACTTTCAAATACATTAAATTCTAATAACTGACACATACATGCTAAATAAAAAATTGAATGATTGCACAGACGAGCTAAGATGTTCATTTAGTCTTCTTCTCATCTTCAAACTGTTATCGCATATAAATCTCACAGAATTTATGACATGAAAAGCCGTAAATACTGTAAATGATTTTCACTTTTGATTTCATCATTTTTCCAATAAAAGGATCTTACGATCAGCCTTTATGTAACTTTACGAAGAACATTTAAATCCTAATGATTTTATATAATCTGATTGTTTATAACAACGATGACAAGAATGTGACAAAAAGACATATTTGTCCAACTTTCTAACCGTCGTATATGTAGATATTTTAAATGATGTGAATCTGCCTTATATGGCTCGGTTTACCAACTAAGGATGAAGGAAAGTTATTGTTTACATGTTTAAAACAATATAAATCCTATGTGAGCTTGTACATCATCTAGGAGGAGAATTACAACGCTGTTGATTTTATTTGTATAATCTTTTCCATATATTCTTGAAGGTATCCATAACAAGTTTATTTTCACAGGTCAAGTTAACACACTGAAATTCAAGTTAAATCAAACATTAATTGAGCATTCCAAACATATAGATTTAATAAATGAAAGGGGAACAGCACATCCAGACTACCACAATAAGATCTGATAATATTCAAATGCAGCTTCCTATGTGATGATGCAACTGATGCATAATGGATACTATATTTAAGTGTAAAAGAAGCAGTTGCAAATTTCATTCTTATGGATAAGGTGATTTAGGTGGACTACGAATTTGCAATCTCCAAGATATTCTGGTCAAGTGTTCTTCTTGCGCCAACCCGATTTGAAGCGATCCATTAAGATCCAGAAGACTTAGAAGGTGATTATTTATGGCTTTCATGGCGAGACCGAAAAATCCGTAATTTTTTATCTAAACAGATAGATTATGGTTTGGAATTGTTACTTTTATTTCCCCTCACTACTCTTTAAAGTCGAAGAAAAATATGATGATGTGACACAAGTTTTGATATTTTTTTCCCATTGAAGTATGATCATACCTAGTACTACCGAGCTGGTAAAATACGTTTACTTCAATTATTTCAAAGGACGCTTCAGATAATCGTTTTTGGACAACTAAGTCAAGTCACAATAGATATTCAGGTAGTTAAGGCAAGACCTTGGTAGTATCAGCACCATCAAGGCACAATAAGGTTTCAACGAGCTAAGGCTTTTATGGTATGTGGCCACTGAAGTCAAGACGCAAGTCTCTCAGATCCAGAACAATCCTTTTGGGCCATTTGGGACGTAATTAACTCATCCAACCCATAAACTATGTTCTTAGCTAAGGCCCGTATCGTCAGTCGTCCCTACAATTATAGGGCGCGCTTATGGCCTCCTTGATTGTCATAGTTTTCTACTTCTCCGTGTCAACGCTCTATTTTGAGGTTATGTCACAAACATTTATTTGCATCAAATTGTGCTTGCTTTTCAGTTATATCATGTTTTATCAGCCTGAAATTTCCTACAATTTAAAAGGAAAACATATCTTAACAACAGGAGAGCGCTGACTCTGACACGGGACGAGTGTAATCTAGAAATTTTTGAAGGAGGTGAAAGATTATGACAATCAAGGAGGCCATAAACGCGCCCTACAATTGTAGGGACGACTAACGATACGGGCCTAAGAAAAGGCGAATATCTCGATCTGGTTGTATAAGGCATAAATACAAAACCTCTAAGCATTCTGGACCTTTTGCTTTAAATCGAGTTTGTGCAAAAACACCATTCGATCATCATTACACCCTCAAAGTTAAAAAAAATCAATCGGAGTCACTTTTTTCATAAGAATGATGCGTGGCCCTTTTGAGAATTTCGATGCGGTTCATAGGAGGACAATCCGACTGATCGATGACATTACTTTAACACATTGATGGGCAGCCGATAACCTGTTTCTTTTCTCTGCTCATATGCCAAAGTAATTCACTGATGATGTTATTTACTTCTAAGCCTGCTAAATGAGCTTGCCAAGCTCCTATTTTCCATTTTAATTATGTCGGGCTCTATATATCGAGAACTGGCCTACGAGTCGGTGTGTTCCTAGAATCCACAATCTTGATGAAGATGTGGAATCTACCAAAATGGATTTTCTAGCTCTACTAACTCATAGTAGTGATAAGCCTGTATTTGAGTTTTAAATTAACGGTTACCTGAATGAAAAAATGGGTTGCTTACCACAGGCTCTGGCTTTAGATGCACCGGATGATGGTGAGATTGGTATAGAGCTAATCCATGGTGTTCTCCGTAGTCTAGTGGATTTCCTTTTACTAACGAGGCAACCAATATGACAAAAGATACCTGCAAAGAGTCGTGCAGTTTCAAATATATTGCTATTTCATCGAAAAAGGAAATATTAGTGTACTAATGCCACAGGTGTACTCATATTAATCCGAATTGTATCGACCCTGACTTCTGTAGTTTATTTTATTGCCTTTCACAGTATAGTATGAAGAGGGAAACGTATGTCAGCCACAGGATAAGTTTCAGAAGTTACATTGATGCAACAGCAACCCATATAAATTGGCAGCAATATATCAGTTTTTGATTGGTAGTAATCACAATTTCCTTTTATAATATGGAACATAAACAATAATGATGAAAGCATGAATGAACCATTTTATGACAGATTCTTACCAAATTGTTCAATATAATGAAACAAGTGAAATCAGTCCAACGATGCACAATAACCATAAATCAGTGTTCAGAATTATCCTGTATTTGATTTTATTAAATCATAAATCAAATGTACGTAGTTATAATCAGCTACTGGTAAAGACCATAATTATATATTTTATGATATGAAGTTCGTCTTCGATATTAAAATCCTTGATCGACGAAAATCTGTTAGACCAGTCATGTTAATTCGTTTATCGCTTGTTTCATTTTGTATATTTATAGTCTGATATCAAAAAGGAAATGAGCAGCAAACCAAAACGCACGCCGGCTTGCCTTTGAATTAACAAGGTCGGTGCGCGCGTATCCCACCGCATTCAAAGAGATGTCGCGCTGGCAGTGGCGTGCAACATGCTTTGCTGCTCTCTTCCTTTTCGATGTCACCGTATAGTTGCAACTTCCTACTAGTAAGAGTCTAGCATGTGTCCGACAAACAAGTAAATTTTTGATTTTTTGTCACCACGGTGTAATGTGTAGATTTCTGGTAAGCCATTGCCGAAAATGTTGCACAACTGAGATACAAAAGTTGAATGAATTATAATAATTCTGGCGTCGATTAAAAAAAATGTCTACCACTTTCATGCTTCCAAATCAATGAATGTGTATAAAAATTTAATAGGTATATACAACGTACTTATCAGACAGATTATACGATTTGCAGTTATTGCGTTATTGTAACGGGTATTTCTATCTGAACCACTTTATGATGATGACTAAAAATAATAGATTACATACCTTGGAGGATAATTAGCTATTTTTCTCCGAGCGCCTTTATATACTGAGGCGCATAACGCCGAGGGACATAATGTGCAAGGATTAAAATGGCACTACTATATTATACTACCGCATTTAATTTGGTTATGTTTTGAAATATAGCATATCTGAGAATACTCTGAACGTCAGGCAACATTATCCGAGTAAAACACACGAACACATAGGAGAGGGACGCTGCTGCTACATGAAAGAGTTCGACAAAGATAAAAAATGATGCTACGTAAGCACATCATTTCGTTTCCCACTCATTTTCAAATATTCTGATTTATCAGATAGACAAGTCAAAATAATGGAATAAGTAAATAGAATCAACTACAATAATTTCAGTTATACAGACTCTGTATTGACTTGGAGCAACTAATATATATATATATATTTAATAATGGATAATGCATTTAATAGCCGTTACAATTCTATGCCCAACAACCCAAAAGAGCGCTACATAAATGCACACAGTGACTATTTATCTAGTGGGGTTAGGGGGAGAAATGTAGCTTGCGGTGAATAACAGCGATTTATCAAGTTAATAGTGAAAAAATTAATTTGCCAGTCTCTGGCAAGAGTAATAAAATCGTTAAAAGATGGAGGCTAGGAAAATTGCACCACGGGCTGTTTTCCTTTATTTCCGTGATTTATTCTACAGCATATCTCTGGGTTAAAAATCAGAAACACGCACTTTCCAATCAAGCACAAATGTGAATAAATTCTTTCTACTTTAGTAGTAAGATCGAAGGCGGATTCTAAAAGACACTAAAAACTGGCAGGTTATTTAAGTAGAGATTTGTAATTCAAAAGTATCTTAATGAAATTTGTATGTTATTTCTTACAAATGTGTAAGATTGGACATGTTCAGCCAACGTAAAGCAGTAAAGCGGTACTGCGCTCTCAAGTTGAATAACATTAACCTGTTGAATAGCTTAGGCAGTTCGCATCAGTCAATCAACAAAACCTTGAATATCAGCGAAGCACAGATTATTAGGTACACTACAGCCAAGCAAAGGCTGTTATCAAACTAACGAATCTATGTCATTTGCTACTGCTAATTAGCATCAAGCGTTATACACTTTACGTTGGTCCAACTCGCTGGGTGTCAAATCTACTATGACTCATATTCTTAGTAGTCACTCACAAATACACTTGAGGGTACCTCAAGTGTTTCCTAATGTACTCGAAACTGGCAACCTCATGATCTCACAAATTCAAATCAAATTTCTATTAACCTATTTGATGGTGGTGGTTTTGGCATTTGTGATTGAAGTTACGCAGATCAAAATGACTGAAGAACGAAAATACTATTCAGGGGCTGAAAAACTCCTATTATGCAGTCTGATTGAAGAATACAAAGACATTATCGAATTAAAGACCGATGGTGTATCCATACGAAAAAATAAGAAGCTAAAATAAGCAATATGTACAACTCCCAAGGATCCAAAAGAATTCCAAGCAACTTACAGGACAAGGAAAGCAGATACCAAAAGCATAATATAGTACATATATAGTATCCTGTGAATTCCAAAGGTAACCTACTTTGTCTGTTCTAATCTTTTGACTCCTACATTCTGTTAGTTTTGCAAACATTTGATTTTTTTCTTCTGGACTCAGGCAGTATGTTTGCCGTAACGAAAAATATTTCAGACTTTCATTGCATATGCGTTAATTTTTTAGTAGGGGTACGTTTCCATTAGCTCGTCATCTTCAGACGTCTTCATAACACTAAATCGAGTCGACGACCAAGGAAAAAAGGCATAGAAGTCCACATTATATCTTCTAAAATAGCTACAACCCACAAACTTTGAACCAAAGCCAAACGAAAAATGTCCATTGATTTTTCATCCTGGTAAACTGGCGCATATTTTTAACCCTGTGACATACGGTGTCCTGATGCAGTTCAAACTAGAATCTGTTTAACTTAAGAGAATGTTCTTAAGACTTTTCGGGCATAATCCACCTGAAGCTTTTTACTAGCCTATAGCGCATCACTTTCACATTTCTCACTAGTATTAAAATGACACTCAGCACAAATGCACAAACCTGTATAATCATCCCGAATGTTGAGCAAACCTGAGTAGCAATACTGGCACAGGTGAAATCCGTTTTGCGTTTATATAAAGTGACCACTTAGCTGGATCCCACCCATGGCACAAGTTCATCCCCAGTTCTGCGATGGACCGTGGTACGTTCGTTAAGAGAACAAGACATGCATGGGACGATAATCGTCCTTATTTGTTTGTATGGGAACTACTGAATAATGCAGGTGTAGTGAGCATCAAATCTTACTTTGTTACATTAGAGTGTCCAAATCCAGACTTTCGTACTGAGTAGTGTAGGATCCCATGTACCATTTTGTTCACGAATGCAAATTCCGCTGGTTATGCGTGCAATTTTGGGCATTAGTATAAGACGACGCTAATTAGTATCATAATATTAGGGATGTGACGTTGCGTGACATTCCACATTTGCTTGCAATGGTCGCTGTTCGCTGACGTTTAAGCGACACGTGCAGCTACAAAAAAGCCTACGAAATGTCAAAAAAAACCGACGAAATGTCGCTTTTTACTCTCAGTGGGACGATTTCCAAATCAAGCACATGGTGAAGGAAGGAATCTCTTTCCTTACGAGTACGTCATACTACAAATAGTCGAAGAAGACTGGAGTACTTCAGCACGTCAAATAGAAGCAAGCACGGGAGTGCCCGAAAGTACCTCCCATCGAATATTGGGAAAGAACGAGCTCCACCCTTACCACGTACAGCGAATACAATCTCTACCATCCCGGGATTATCTTCCAAGAGTTGATTGAGTTTTGTCAAACAGAGTCACCGGAAAGATCCTCGATTTTTAGAGAAAATTTGATGGACTAATGTGACAACATGGTTTCATGAATCTACACAACCTACACGACGGGCATATAGAAACTCAACATTTGATGAGACCAGAAATAAATAAATATCTTTATTGCCATTTGACTTGAAAATGTATCAGCAAATTGTCACTGATGAATGAGAAAAAAAAATACCTAAAAAGTTGTGATCGAGTCAGCACTAAGTAAATTAAATAATACAAACATAATGTACTCAAAATAACAACATAAATAAACAAATTAAAGAGATGTGACTAAATAACAAATAAAACAAAAATAGAGGGACGAACAGATTGAAAACAGATTAAAAATTAATTGTTTGCAATAATACAATTCACAAGTCTGATGTTAAGTATTATTCAATGCTGTAAAAAGGGTTTTCCATAAATAGACTTTTAACTGGGCATTGGAGAGCATTGAAATTGGTGACAGCTTTGATAACAATTGGCGACCTGTTGAACAATCTGATAGGCATTATGCGGGGACCATTTGTTGATAAGGCAAGGCTTTGTTGAGGGGTACGCAGACAGTATGTATTCTTTAGATTATAACCACTCTCCACATTGCTTCGCGACTCATATTTTTCAAAGTACTTTCGAACATGACAAACACAGTTAAAAATATAAAGTGAATATATCGACATGGTGTGGAGAGTTTTAAATAGCTCCCGAAGTGAGCTTGTTACTAAATGTTATTGTAGGAATCACTCTCTTCTGCACAAGTAGCAAATCTGATGTACGTGAGCTGCTACCCCAGCAATGGCTGACTGTACGAGAGCAAAATAGTACACCCTAAGCACTGCAGTACTTACAAACTGCCTTAGTCTCCATAACACAAAGCAATGCTTTGATACTTTGTTGACTAAACAGTCAATATGATCCCTTCAAGTAAGCCTTGAATCGATCATAACACCAAGGAATTTAGTGTCCTGGACCTCGTTCACTCTGGTTCCGTTAGTTTTCAAGTCAATATCACAATCTGTATCTCGCAAGCAAAACTGAATCAGTTGCAACAACAAGGCCATTCCTTACACAGTCCTCTCCATGTGATATGATGCAACTGACAACTCAGTAATGAGCTGAGTTGGATCTTTAGTTTTAACCCCCACCGTGGTATCGTCAGCAAATAATGTAACAAAATGATGTTTCATGAAAATAGGCGCATCGTTGACGAACAGCAAGAACAATAGAGGCCCTAGTATGCTTCCTTGCGGAACACCAGTTAAAACAAGATTGGTGCTAGAAGATAATTTACATCTACCGTTATTAATGACAACTCGTTGTTCCCTATCGGATAGATAACTTTCTATCCAATTTAAAGCGGTTCCTCTGACTCCGTAGTTATGAAGCTTTTCAAGTAAAAGAGCATGGTTGACAGTATCGAAAGCGGCTTAAATTTATAAAGCGACAACACGTTTTATCTTTCTTTTCAAGACATGTTAAGACAAAGTCACACATAGACAATACTGCATCTTTTGTGGATAGGTTTTTCTGAAATTCAAATTGGTACCTGTTGATGATATTGAATTTGTCAGCAAAGTTTATCATTTTATTAGGTGTATAAGAAGCCTTTTCGAAGAATTTTGCGAATACGGATAACAAAGAAATGCCCCTATAATTAGCCATGTTAGTAATATCATCTTTTTTATAGATTGGTATAACAAGTGATTCTTTCAGCTTATAAGGAAATATGCCTTCTGCAAAAGACAGATTTAACAGAGCTCTTAGAGGTTAACCAACTAAGTCTATGACATTCAATACGAATGAGCAAGCCTGCTGACTTCTTTTTTGCGACATGTTTTAACAGCTCAACAGCTTCATCTTCAGTAACTGGGCTTAAAAACATGGAATTTGTATTGATGGGAGTTTGTACATACTGCCCACCGAAAGTCATAGACTTAGTCAGTTCCGACACAGAATTTATAAAGAAATTATTAAACGCGTCAACAGCTTCCTTGGATGACGTAGAGAAAACATTTCCATCGTTATCAGAAATAATCTCAGGAACTTGTCTTTTTGTATGTTTTGAATTGGCACTGATGTTTTCCCAAGCAGTCTTACTCTTATCTAGACTTAGCAATTTTATTATCATAGTAGTCTCGTTTTGTTTCCAATAATTTTCTTTTATGTTCTTTAATCAGTAGTTTATAGCGTGCAGTCAACTCGGTATCATTATTTATTTTTGTAGCAAAATGTAACTCTCTTAAAAACTTACTTTCATCAATCATTACTTTGGTTATCCAGCAATTCTTACAATTTTGAGGAGTTTCATGTTTACTTTTGACTAACATTACAGGAAAGCATCTATCAAAGGTTTGCTTGAATATATCATGGAACATATTAAACTTTGAATCACAGTCAAGCCCTTCATCAGACAAAAAATACCAGTCTGTTTCTTGAAAAAGCATTTTGAATATTTCAATATATTGAGGTTTATCGAAATGGCGTTTGCTGTGATAAACAATTTATGTTTGAGGGCTACTACTTCCTAAATTATAGCCTACGATCTGCATATTATGGTCTGATAAGTTACAGTTAACTATTTTGGAGAAGGTGGAGGATATATTGAAGAAAATATTGTCGATGATCGATCTGCAGTTATTGGTAATTCTAGTGTAATCCCACACCTTCCATATTGAACGATTTCAGAATTGTAACAAGTTTCCTTGATGATTAATGTATATTCAGTTTGTCAAAGTTCATGTTGAAGTCCCCAGAAAGATAACAGTTTCGTTTTAAAGTAAGCATGTGGACCGAGATTGTAACTGGGAGAATCATTGTATCATTTGAGTTGCCAGAGTTCTTGAATGGCGAAATGAAACAAAAAGTTTAACGGAAGCAGTTGAATTTGTTAATAAAAGAGGATTCGCCCGTCTGATAAACCGATCATTTTTAAGAAGCTTGCATTGCTGCTGAAGGAAGGTAGTTTGAACATATATTGTGAATTCAATAAATACATCACCAATTACGTCACTCCGTTTAAAAAAAATTGAAATTTGTAGTAATGGGAACTGAAAGATCATCACAGGTTTTTGAAGCCTATAATTCGAAAAGTACAGGTCTTTTTTTATATTTTTCTTATAGCTATTATGACTTGGTCTATCCCCCGTTTCAGGCTTGACGCCGACTTCTGATGAAATTATAAAATTATAAGATAAACATTAAAAATTATTCAGATTAAAAGCCAAATAAGATGAGTATAAAAGTAGCCAAAGCGAAAACAGTCCGATTTCAAAACTAAAACAACTTAAACAAAAGTATCAGCTCAAACATTTTCTTAGAATCAAAATAAAATACAGTAGTAGAGTACAATAAATAAAACATAAAAAATTCCTGAAATAGAAAAAACTTTTGAAATTATAAATAATTATTGCCACAAACGTTCAGTCCCAGTGCCATTTAAGATTTAATGAAAATGATCAAAACAACACCAGGAATCCGACTTGAAACTAAAGGAAGTGAAATTCGATACAACCGATCATTAAAGCTTCTCAGTGAGGAATTTCCAATTTTGCATTTCGTTGTTACATGCGAACGGAACCATTACAATGGGGTACGGTAAGATGATTTTCAATGTCATCATCAAAAATTGCTTAATGTCGCGGACCATTCTAGTAAGAAAAATAGATCTCAGATTCGTCACCTACGCACCAGGTTCAGTCTTACAGCAAGGTTTTGATACACAAGTTTTTTTAAGTCTTCTAAGTTTTTAAATGCAAAATTGCATTTTTTACAAAGGAACGAAACCTTGTACACTGAGGTGATCTGGGACGCTCATTTCAAATATTGCCTTCGAAAAATGCTAGTGATAAAAAATAAAAATAACCTCATAAAGTTCTATTTGGGGCAAGGGAACGACGCTTTTACAGCCTTTGTATAAACTTGACGGATCCAATTAACTCAAGGAACGGTCGATACTGTAGATACACAAGAATCTTTTTAATTTTCCAGTTCTTCTGGGGTACATCTTCAACCATCAAAGTCCAAAATTTTGTAAACTACCGAATGTATACCCTCTAATATATAATGCAACCTCCGATATACGGGATCCCGAACTAGAAGCAATTTCACGTTTCAATTAGCTGGATACCATTTCAACAGAAGTAGAGTAGTACTACCAGTGTGTTTTCCCACATTTATCTTGTCGATCGGACACCGTCCTAAGAGACACACATACGAGTAGTACCTTTACGTAATGGAAATTCTTAAGTTTGCGAATCCAATTCTCTTTACGAGGTTGCTTTGAAAGATTAACATACATACTAAGCTAGAATTCGAGTGCTTACCTCCCAAAATTGCTTGAGATATGTTATCTCCGGTTAGGAACCACCCCTGAAAAATGTAACCGTACGTATTTTTTGTGGGTGAAAAAAGCACATCAGATTGATCGAGAAATAATAATATAATAATAACTTGCTTTTATTGCTCATGTAAGTACAGAAAAAGAAAAAGTACATAAATCTGCAGTGAGCAAATGGCAAGGTTCGCTTGATTGACAACCATTAGTTGTCAATCCGCGCTCTTCCACCTAACCAAAAAAAAATAAACTCATCTTGGCAATAATTTTTGGGTTCAGTGTTTGCCAGCTCTGCAAAAATCGTA